ACGGCTAGTGTTACACAACCACCGAAAAAAAAAACGCCATCTCACTTTCAGATATCTCATTCCAGATACAAGTATTACAAGCGCCTTGACGCAGTGGGGGAGGGGGGGGGGGATTAATTTATGTCTTTCAGTTACAATGCTCCCATTCTAGGATTCTAGAGAAAACCGGTCCCAAACCATAAAGGACCCGAAAGCAGGGAGTGCCGGTAATGGAATATACGGCAAAAAATCTGTCAGCATCCAAGCGCCCGTACAAAGCATGCTCCCCGTGTTTCCAGGTACTTACGGCCTGGTACAAAGTACATGTACGGTACCATTCCTTGCCCTCATTACTCCTAGTGAGACCGGGGAAGCCTGGACGCCCGGGAATGAATCGACCGGGGGAGACCAAAAAAGCAACCTTGACAGCGAAACCCATCACTCCCCGAGCACTCTCAGAAATTTGGGAAACAAGTTCCCGGATAATTGAGACACTGCTACTTGTAACCAATCCGTAATTACAGATTGGTTGATAAATTCCCTCGCTCCGTCGGTATCATACCTCAGGCTAATCAGCGTTTCGGGGCTATCAGGGTTATTACCATTTTCACCGGGAGTAGCCCGCCTAGCGAAAGCCCCGTCAGGCATATGGAACACTGACAATGCCACCCACTAGCTTCGACCACTTCTTACTCCACTCCCCCCCGCACAGAAAAGGAAAAGGAAAAGGAAAAAAAAAAAATAGCAGCATTGCGGCAAAAAAATCTATACTCGAGGAAGGTAATCAAAACCTCAACTCAGTAAAACACACCTATGCAGGTCTCAGTCAACTATAACATCGCCCCTCCCCTCTCAACAACTGACATGTTATGATACCTTATATAGCCGCCGCGAAATGCCTAACCGAGTGACCATTCATGAATACAGACTCTTTTGGTCTTGCCGACCGACCGATTCCCCCCGGCCCCGGCATAACCCAGGTCAGACTAACACCAATAGAGCGAGCACCGGAAGGCAAGGTTTTTCGTCTATTTATTCATTTTTCCCTCATTCATTCCAGACGCGCACCTCACCGCAGGAAATTAGACGTCCCTTTCTGCCTCGGTTATCTCCCCGAGCTAATGGCAATGCTAGAGTAAAGAGTTACTGTCGCTTGGCCACGCTACGGTACTTGTACTAGTACTGTAGTAAAAATACGGATTTCTCGGATGGCCCTATAAGCACAGTTAACTTCTTTGGACAATAAGGTGGCATCGGGGTGGGTCCGCTCGTGAATTCTGAGTAGCGTAAGGCGTATGTTAGCATTTAGTATGATAGTACCGGTATCACAAGTGTTGAGGAGGGGGGGGCGGTGAGGAGTTGAGGCTCGGATTGGTGGTAGTCGGAATCCGGTAGCGGGGGTGCGGGTCTTCCCGGTACCCAGTAGTTGGAAAGGGAAGAAAAGGAAGGGAAAAAGAAAAAAAGACCATGACCTCAATGGTGTTGATCAATGACAATGATAATAGCAATTTAGAGGCAGCGGAAAAGTGTCGATAACGGGATGTCGCTCCCATGGTCTCAAGTATCAGACCATTCTTATATTACACGATAGAAGTTGGCCAACGTCTATTTCATCATGACATAGTCTACCGTATTCGCGAGAAGAGGAAATACCGGGGCGATGCGCTACTCAAGTAGATATCGCTACCTTTGGCACCGGTACACCATTGACCTGGAGACAGCTACCCCCACTTGATCCGCGTTAATAAGCTTCACCTCAGGATGGGGAAACCTCCTCACCATTGAGGAAAAGAAATATGGATTTTGTCCGTACCGTCCAGTTGCTCTTAGGGATACTGCACTGCACATCCCCCCCCACCCCCACATACTTGTACCCTCCGCCTCCGGATCACCTGATTACCCGACTCTTGCCCCTCTACGGTATTTCGGCAACTCTTCCATGACACCTCCCGCGCTTCCTATTCGTCCCCATCCAACGCTGCTCCGCATATCATTACAGACCCTTTCACCAGCACCACCTCCTCCTCCCAGACACAACTCATGCCAACTCAAGTGCCCACTCACTCAACTGCTTACGTATTACGGGTGCGGCACAAGCAGAAACCCAACATGTGAACTGCATCAACCCATTTCCGACAAGAACACCCATCCCTCCTCCGAAACTCCACCACCGAGTGTGCCTGCATGCATGAGATCATGCACAACGTATTGGACCGAGAAGCGGGTCAGACCGGGGGGGGGGCAATGAATCATCCAAAGCGCACAGAAAGGATCGGAAGTCGAGAAATCTCAATTGACGTCCAACACTGGTAAGAGAAAATTCAGAAAGAGCAATGGCCCACCCCCCCCCCCCCCCCGCGACCGATAGTACAAGCACAGTACGGTATTCTAGGTTCGCCCTTCCTCAAGCCGAATTCCGACTCTTGAATTATATACTTTTCGGAAACTACAAATGAGGATCTAATTCACTTCCAGGTCCTATCCAACCCCCCCCCCCGGCCCCAGTGCTCCTAGTGGGAATGGGTACAGACACGTGAAAACGATGCAAGCAGACAACCAAAAAAAAAAAGTGCTTTCTGACAACAGCGAAATCTATCACCTCCCCCCCCCCCAAAAAAAAAGGCTTGGAAATTTGAGAAGCAAGTTCCTGAGTAATCAAGCCACTGCAAATCAATACACAACCTGAAACTATTTGACATACCGGCAATAGGATCCTCCCGTTCAGTTGATATCTCCCCCATGCTTACTAGCACTCCGGGGAAAGGTGGTATTATTAGAGCGCAGTATGATACTACAAGTAGCGGTACAGCACAACTAAAAAAACTCACCTCACTACACTAGACTATTCACCAACTGACTAATTCGACCGACTCCCCGACCGACCGACCGGACGAACAAACGAATTAAGGACCAACCCATTAGAGTACAGTACAAGTACATACCGACCGGTACAAGTACTAGTTACAAAATCACTGTCACAAGCACGTTTCAAACCCCGTACCGTACGTACCGGTATTATATAGCACCATCGCAGCAAACTTCCCCCCCAGTTCACCATAAGTACGGTAAGTTACGACCAACCTCCCACTCACACATCCAGTTAAGGAAGCACAATACGCTATGCCACGGCATACTCTAATTCTGTTGGGGGTTAACAAAAACAAAAAAAACACGTGTCTGACTTACTTGCTTGCTTGCTCTCTCCAATTCACCTCTTCCTACTTTTGATTCGGCTTGGGTGCACATGCCATACTGCTCACCGCGATATCACATGAAATTTCAAGTACGAGTACGAGTACTATTCGTACAGTAGGAAGGAGGGAGGTAAGGAGGTAAGGAGGGGGGGGGGAAGGTTTACTTTCTTTTTTTATAATACCTTCTAAATGTTGTCTTTTTTTTTCTTTTCCTTTTGTACGTATGGAGGGGTCAGGGGACCCAGATTAGTTATGGGGACGAAGCTTGTTTTGGACCCTCTAAGGATGAAGTGGGAGGTGCCGGGGGTGCCGGAGGAGGAGGAGGATAAAGAAAGGGTCCTGAGTGGAACACGCTAGTATGATACCGGTAATGTACTGTATCATATAATAATTACAATGCGCTAACATACGGAGCAGACCTTCCGTGAGCTTATGACAACTTGGTCCACTCAAACGGTCAGGAACCTCCATCCTCATTAATCCGGCATCTCTCATATTATAAATCTTGCGAGGGAAATAATAACAACAACAGCAATAATAATGATAATAATGGCAAATCTCAACTTAAAACTATCGGAGGGAAGGCCCATTCGATGCTCAAGGAAGGGAAAAGTATAATATGGCACAATAACCTGATAAGTTTGTACAATTTTTTTTTTTAAAAAAACCCCCTCTCCGGTAGCATAACATATACGTACTGTACCCATTCTCGCTTAAAAAAAATTAAAAAATAAAAATAAAAAAAACATATCATGATAAATCTCTACATCATCTCATCTTTCCTTCCTTCTTTCTTTCTTTCTTTCTTTCTTTCAAAAAAAAAATCGCACATGATATATAGTGAAAAAACCCACCGGGAACAAACGCCAAATATGATAAAATAGATAAATAAATAAATAAATAAGTTTATACGAGCCATACCCGGACATCAGTGAACCGGACGGAAAAAAGTGTCATATAGTGCACGACACAAAGCACACAGCATCCTAATTTATATATATAAAAATAATATCATACTATCAGAAATTACATAGCACAGGTATATATATATAAAAATTAAAAAAAAAATCCCCCCCCCTGGACCAAATTATTATATCACTATCGTACCCAAGAATGCGTACAGTACTGTAAATACCGCTATAATAATTACCCTACGAGTATTATATTCATACCCCGCACCGTACCAGAACATTAAGGATATAATCTCGTCTGGTAGTGGATGTGCACGAATGATTGGCCATATATATATATATACATATTTCCAATCCCAATTCCCGGGTGCTCCTACCCGTGACTGGTTACGGTATCATACCTATTCCAGTAAACCTCCTTCAGAATTCCCCCCCCCCCCCCTCCGGAAGAAACAGACCGACCGGTAAGGTTCGCAGGCAATCAAAGCACATATGACGTTCCCATCTTATCGTACGGGATTCTTATCATATACCGGTATATGATACCTACCAGGACGATGCCTGCGTAATGACCTCAATGCGAACTAAAGGCATCAAGGCAAAATCCAAGCACAATCACATCATAGCATCATTAATTAGCCAGTACACTCGTGCGGGCGACGGGAGGCGAATTGGGCAGATCACCATAATTCACGACAAGATGGCATGGTGGAAGCTTAATTGTATAAAATTCATCCCGACCTTCCCCGTCTGTAGTGGGGGGGTTTCCTAATATAGGGCCAAACCCGCGCAAGTCCTCATCGCCCCAAATTACCGGTGGTAATCATTGACATCTGAGAGCGGGAAAAGAGGGTATATTACAGAGCTATGCACCTAGGTAGCTAGCCTCCATAGGCCACCCATTAGTCTGTATCCAGGACCTCACACCCGAGCTGGGTAGGGCGATTGTACCGCCACTTGAGGAAAAGTTCGATTGACCCCTCGGAGCCACAAACCCCGCTGGCTAGGTCACCTTTGGGTGACCGAAAAACCATACCCTCATGAGCCTAAAGCTTTTGTGCATCTGTCCTCCGACAGGTGCACGCTGGGGGATCGTGAAATCAGGGAACGAAGGGAGAGATCGAGGCATGACAACCACATCGAAAACTGGTTAGTGCAATAGACAACGAGTGACCCTCGATGACTCCAATTCGCTATTCCAGTCCCTTCCTTTATTTATCCGTCCATCACGGGGCAGGCAGGCAGGCTTCAAGTCTCACATTGAGGAAAAGACACAGAAGAGGTAGCTCGATTAATGCCAAGATCTCAAGGAATACAAACGAAGGAAAGAAACCCTCACACCAGCATTCTAGACAAATGGAAACCAGAAAAGAGCGGGGCCAGGGAAAAGCCGGGATAAAACAAAGTGACACAGCCATTCTGTATGAGAAGAGGGAATAGTAAAAGAAGGAAAGAAAAAACTCGAATCCAGATGCGCCTCCCCAAACCTTTTCATGACCTCGTTTCTCAAGCTTTAGACAAGAAAGTAAATAATAACAGGAAAGTTGCCGCGGGGGGAAGGGGAAGGAAAGAAGAGGCAAGGAGGTAAAAAATATAAAAATAGAGGTATCGAGAAACGCTGTTATGATAATAGCTCATCTGTACAAGAATCGAATGATCAAAGGAAAAGAATAGCGGATAGCTAGTATTACAAGTTTTTTAACGCAAGGAAATCTACTCACAACCCTTCACAAGAATGATCCGCTCAGCCCTTCATTTCGACATCTCTGCTCCGGTTTCCATGGAGGATCTTTCCTTCCGGGGTTGCGGGGCGGCTCGGATCTGGTTTAACTTTAGAATTGGACTTGGCCTGCTGCTGCAGAGGAGAGTGCTCTTGGGGGGTTGTTACGGCAGTGGTGGTGGTGGCTGGAGGAGTCTGTCTATCAGAGGCTGCATAAGAACCTATTAGAACATAAATTAGAAAACCGTCACCCGGTTCAGGAAGGAGAAACGCGCTCACGTACCATGCGACTTTTCCGCATCCGGAGTTTGTGTTTCCCTCCTGGAGGAAGAAAGCCTTGAAGTCCATTCCGCTTGGAGTTTCTCCCTTTCCGCACTAACATTGTTCACGAATACCTCCAGGTTCTTGATCCTACTACCAAGATCAGAGACACCAGCGTTCGCAAGATCAGTCAGAAGGCTCTTGAGCTGACCCTCGTTAGAAGCATCAATCGCAAACTTTTTGTTGACCCACGAGTCAAGTTCCTCCTTGTCTTTATGGGAGCGATGATCGTACTCAGTGGGCGACGTTATCGCTGGTCCGTACTTTGCAGCGGCAGCCCTCTGGCGAGCCTCAGGCCCACCAAGGATATCAAAGGCCTGAGTGATCGTGTAGAGCTTGGCCTCGTGGTGTCGAAGTGCGTGGATGGCACGGTTCCGCTCCTCCACAAGTCGGGCAACATCCATTTCCAACTTGACCTTGATATCCTGCAACTCCAGATTTCCACGTTGAAGGTCGGTGTTCCACGCCTTGAGCGACATGATCTCGGTCACCAGTCTCTCCCTCTCCGCAACGAAACCCTGCTCAATTCCCTTGAATCTTCGAACATCCATTTCATGCTGCCTCAACAGTTCCTGCCTTTCATAAAACCTGACCTGCTCCTCCAAACCATTAACCTCCGCGGTGACTTGAGCCTTCTTCCGGCCCGCCTCGGCAAGACGGTTTCTAAGCTCGTCAAGATCCGCATCGTCATCCTGATTCTGTTCAGAATGCCGAGCGCGGACACCCGGTGACTGCGGATCGGGAGGGGGAGGGGGTCCAGGCATCATCCGAGCGGGCGGGGGCGGTGCTCCGGGCCCCATTGGTGGCAAAGGAACCGGGGTTGCCGCCGAAGTCCCACCACTCTTAGAGATACTGTTGCTACGAAGTACTCGCGCGGCCGGTGAAGGATTCGGCCCAAGTGGTGGTTGTGGTTGTTGCTGCTGCTGCTGTTGTTGTTGTTGTTGCTGTTGTTGTTGTTGTTGTGGTGGTGGTGGTGGTGGTGGTGGTGGTGGTGGTGGGGGGGGGGGTGGTGGGGGTGGTGGCACCTGTTGAGGATGGGGAGGAGGCTCCCTGCCAGGTTGAAGAGGCCCAGCGGGGGGTCGCTCAAGTTTAGGAGCAATCTTCCCCGCTCCTCCCTTTGGAAAAACGGGAGCATTGGTATTAACCGCTGCCCACATTGGTGTCTGTGGCAAGGGCACACCAGGCTGATCACGGTGGGTTGAGGTCCCCGGAGATCCAGCTGGCGCCAGGGGCTGGTGCACTCTAGAGTAACTAGGCATGGGGATTCCAGGTTTGGGGGGGTCCCCATGAATCACTCTCGGGCTACCATCGTCCCTCATCCCACCGCTGCTAGGATAGGCCGATGCCTCGTTGCCATGAACCTGAGGCGTCATTTGGCGAGATTGGTTTCCAGGCGTGTTCATATCGCTATCGGGTTGGGGCCGATTGTTGGAGATATCGACGGAGAAGGTGGGCATTGACGAGGCGGGAGGTCCGGATGCCGACGAGGACATTGGGCCCGCGGAACCATACGACCGCCTTCCCCTCTTAGCCGAGCTCGGGCCGCCGCTATTAAGATCGGGGGGACTATCCGCACTAGCCTCGGAGGCTCGCGAGCGTTTTAATGCACCTACTAGGAGCAAATGACGAAGGTTAGTATATTATGCAGCGGGAAACAACAAACACACAGCCAAATTGGTGCATGGTAACAATGATTAATTAATACTCGCGCACTCACGAGAGATGGCTGTGATGTCTATTTCCTTCCCGAACTGTTTTTGAAACCAGGAAGCGAGCTCACGGTATGTTTTTTTGGGATTATTCTCGTAGTAGGTTACAAGCTTCTCACTTTCAATCCCGATCCGCTCCCGATACTTTGATCTCTTCTTAATGACCATATATTCCAGATCGGATGGTTGATCGGACCTTCTCCGTCTCAACTCGATCTCCTTGCCGAATTTGCCCTCGAACCATTGAAGGTACTCAGCCTTCTCCTTCCCCGGATTGTCGCGTTGGTAGGCGTAGAACTCATCGGTCTCGGCAGTGGTGGGACCCAGAAATACCTCTTCCTTTTCGGCGAGGGACTTTTGGTCGTTCGTCATGGCCGAAAGAGGGGGGCTGAGCTGCGGGGTCGAGCTGCCCGGTTGTGTCGGTATATGTTCAATGATTGGTATCCGTGGCCTCAGCCTAGCAGAGGGCCTTCGTTATGAGTGGTCGGGGTCGAATTATAGGAGCGATGGAGTATGGCTGTGTACGACGTCCCAATTTTTCCTTTTTCTTTTTTTTTTTAAAAAAAAAAAACACTGCTTAGTGTGTCGTGCAGAAAAATACGAACGCAGAGAGAAGGAAGGAAGGAAGGAAGGAAAAAAAGGTAGGAAAGGGTGGGGGGGGTATGATGTATGTATGTACGTAGGTAGGAGCGAAAGAAAACTTGGGGGGAGGGAGGGAGGAAGGGAGGGAAGGGGAGAGATGAAGGGATTGATTGTATCGAGTAGGGTTTGGGGGAGGGGGGATAGGTACTTACTAAAGTAGCTGAGGTAATAATAAACTGTTTGCTATGTCTTCTTGGACGGATGCAAGTATTCGCTAAAGGTGCCCAATCCTCCGTTGTGTCTTACGACTAGATCCGGACGATGAGGACACTCGCAGGCGTGAAGGTAAAACTTTAGTAACTATGTAATAGCCACCGGAGATTAGTGTTGTAATCAACGAGGAATGAGAGATATAATTGGAATTCGAGTAAAGGTCGCTAGGCAGGGGGGTGCGAATATCTTATGAACCCAAGTCTTAAGGGTTGAGGGCGGGTATTGGGGGGTTCAGAATCTAAGGGTATGCATAGGTGCGGTAACAAATTTGGGGGGCACAGCATGCTGTGGTGCGAATGCGAACATTTAAAAACAGTAGTGCTTGGTGCGCAAAATATGGCGATAGCCGTCAAGTAGAAAAGACAAACCCAACAGGAAGCGGGCCACCACCGGAAAAAAAAATCAAAATAAAATAAAACAGAAACCCTCATGAAGGAGCGGGTGAGAGGGGCGAAATATATATACAGAAGATATCTGGAGGATGAAAACAGACGCCCAATAGCGTTACCATAGGAGCGAAATGAATGCAAGGAGGCATAGACATAGATGGCGGAAAACGGAACCGTAGAGAAATGGTCACGTTTTTTTTTCTTTCGGGTACTGGTTCTAGTGAGAACGGCAGGTCCGTCCAGTCCAGCACAGGAAATCGTGGAGGGAAAAAATAAAAATGAACGATCCAAAAGGTGATATGACGGCAGCACAAACGCAAAGCAGAAAGTATAAAAAGAAGAAAAACAACCCACCGAGGCGATTTCCCAGATGGGGATTTGTCTGATATCGATCGCTGCTATGATATCAAACAGCCCCAACCTAAGGATGTGAAGGCGAAGGTTGGTCGCAGAGGTCGAAGGGAGTTGTCGTGCCGGGGTAGTAGAGGAGGCAACAGTAGCACCGGCAAAAGTAGTGATAAAGTCACAGGGTTCAATAGGGAGGGAAGGTGTGGGAGAGCGAGAGGAAAGGAAGGACGGAAGTAGAGGTAGAAGCGGGAACAAGAGAGAGCAGAAGGGTGGAGGAAGGAGGTGAGGGGGGGGGGGTGTCGACAAGAGGTGGAAGTGGAAGAGAGGAAGGGAGGGAGAGAGGGTTGAGGAAAATGAGAGGCACGATAATGAGATCTAAAAGATATCGTACAACGGCGAAGGGCTACAACAACGGTACCGGTATTTGGAAACCTATCCTACAACGAGGACGAGAACGGTACGGTAGAGAAAATTAGTTGCTCGAGTAGCACTCGGGGCTCCCAAACGAGAGAGGGAAAAAAAAAGATTAAAAAAAAAAAAGGTAGCAAATGAAATCCTTGCCGCACTTGAAACCTCGTACAACCGATCACTGCCGTACTCCCGGTTGGGCAGAGAGAGAGGAAGTGGCGGAATGATGAGCGTGAAAAGGGTCCCGGACGCTTTTCTCTCAGCGTGCCGAAAAAGAATGTCGAAATCAATCATGTCGTTGCTACTCGTACTGTGTTATAGTAGTCTACTGCACCCATACTTGTACAGTGCGATAAGTAGTGTTACGCTATGCTACGCTAAGTAAAACCTGGCTGGTGTTGTTGACCCGTACGAATCACCCTTCAACATCAGCTTCCTTTCTAAGCTATTTTAACCTCCGGTCGTCCAAGGAAAATCATCAATGCAAAGCCTCTGCCAAGAGGGTCGATTAACTGGCTGTCACCATACGGTGGTTTACGATACTGGTAGTAGAAACTCCCACCCTCTGGTAAAAATCTCTGAACAAAAAAAAAAAAAAAAAAAGTTGAGACTGGGGCGCGCTAACCGTTAGCACCGATGCAATGGCGCAGGCTCAGCTACCAGCTTCTGCTGCTGCTCGTGCCTTCTGATATCACCGCGCTCCCCACAGTATGTCTCCTCTCTCGTTGCCCTTATCCTCCTTATCCCTCTCAGCTGACTCGAAAGGAACTGCACGGCACTGGGCCAAATCATATCGAGTGAGAATGGAAGGTCCGTCAGCTACTTGCAAAAGATAAAGGGAGCAGAAACCGTGCACAACATGATAGATGGACAGCAGCGCTCCTGGGGCAGAAATAAAAATGAAAAAATAGGACGTCATGGACCGGTCAAGCGTAGCCCTGTAAGATACAATGCGCGTACGAATCTGCAACGAGGAAGTAGGAATATCGATAACAAAGAGGCATGAAAAACAGGAAACCATGTTTCTTTGCTTTTTATGACTAGAGCAGGGAGGAAAAAAGAAAATAGAAAGAAGAAAGGTTTGAATGTGCTCGTATGATGTCGGTATCATGGAATGAGAAAAGAAAAGAAGAGGGAAAAAAAAACAGCACAACTCCAGGTCAAGCCCCATAAGCTATCGTGCTAGCACTCGAGTGCCATAACGGCACCAATAAGACGCATACTCCGAAGCCTAGTGGATAAAGGGTGAGAATTTTCGTATCAAGTCGTAATGCACTATGCGTCGGAACCCGTTCTCCGGTCGACCACAGTAATTGAAACGATTTCCTTTGGTATTTGCCGATAAATATTCCTGATTTTACCGCTAGCCGGCCCCGATATAACGCCACGAAACAAGGAAATGCTGACTGTACAGAGCTTTGTTGTCCAGTAATTAATTACCGTTGTTATTATTATGCGTGATAGGCTGCCTTTGTTTGTGATATGGGAAGGGCGGTTCGTAAAGTTAAAAAAAATGATCGCGGCCGGAAACGGTAGGGCCAATGGAAACTACACTACACCAACTTTCCTCCCCCCCTCAGCTCGGAGGGAGTACTCGAGTATGATAGCAGTGTGATGTTTAAGGGCAGAAAAGGTGGCTGTGATATTAATATTTTCGGAATGAGGGAGGGGGTGAATCACGGAACCGAATAGAATGGGGATCACTCAAGGGGTCTCTGGTCAGAGTTGACTTAACTCACCCAGCGTGGTGATTTGCTCGGAACATATTCTACTTGAGGAGAGGCAGCACATTCCTCAGGCTCTCGGGAGAAACCTTTCGAATGAGGTTGTGGTACAGCACGAGCATCGTGGCTTACGAGTACCGTAGCGTACAAGGCTGATGGTCCCCAACCTTGGTAAAGGGTCAAAACCACAACAAGGCGCCGCTCTTTGCAGGAAGGGAAATGTAAGGGTACCGGTGTGGAAGAGTAGGTACTGTACTGGTATAATAGGTAATTCCACTAGTACCGCACAGCACCATGGCTGGGCGACTCATGCGTCGCGACGTCGTCTCCATTATATGCGCTCTTGTTGGGGAAGCCTCGAATCCAAATACTGGCACAAGCAGTAGTGGTGTGGTACCGGTATTAGACTGCCTAGTAGGTTGTTATCATACCGCTTGACTCGCCTTTGTTTCGGGAGCGAATGAGAGATCCCAGTTCCAACAGGCCTCTCGCCCCCCCGCCCCCCTCTCCCCATCCGGACCGGTTATCATAACGGGTTCTGGCAACTGATCTGGCCTCCCCTTCTCTCTCCGAAGCAGATTATTGCGCCATTCACACATTTGTAGGGAGTTGGGACCATTACCGGCACTTTCCTTTATTACCTTACACGAACAAGGAAAGAGCGCCTGCCAGTACTCACGCAAACGAATCTCACTGGATGATAGAAACACCAATAGCTTCCAAGGTTCTGCTAGGCCTTCTTGTTACAATTTCGGAGCGGGCTTCCTCTTCCCACCTGCTCGAGCACTCGTAGAGTCCACTGGCACCCTCACTGCGCAAGAGTACTCGCACCGCACGCGAAACCTCGTTTTTTTGTTTTTCTTTCTCCCTCTCCTTCCTCCTTTCTTTTTCTTTTCTCCTCACCCTTTCCTCCCACTGGATCAGGGACGAACAAACAGCGAATCCAATCCAATTCCGGATGAGGAAAATTAAATGCTGGGGGACTCCACAGGCCCAGGAGAGAAAGATCGGATGTATCTTGCCAGAGAAAGTGGTTTTATTAAGTTGTTTGGGAGTTGATTCACATGGGGGCGCATCGGCGATTTCCGCTCTCTCTCCCTTCCCTAAGCTTTGCTAGCCATTCGGGAAATGATCATCGCTAAAATACGACAACGGCGATACTCGTACCAAACCTTTCAGTTGCACCGAGAGCTCGATCGGCTAAGGTCTATCAGCGAGCTTCACTCCACTTCCCCCGCGACCCAGGACCTCCACACCATAAGCCGAGGGGAGGGAGAAGGGCTACGGTATTTCTCCGCTCTCGAAACGTCTGGTTCCACCTCGCTAGCACAGAGCGGGTGCCGGAGAAGGCACAGGACAAGGAGCACGTCAATATGGGAGAATGGGTAGATTCGATATGAGAGGACTCGGTCACACATACCTCGTCAGCTCGCTCAAGTACGGCACGCACCTTGCATTGAATGCCCGTGCAAGTGGAGAGGTTTGAAATTCGAAAAGGAAAAAAATGATTGTGTAATAGCGGTACGGTAGCTGTTCTGGCCACAGGGTGTGGTGTGGTCGGATAACGTAGGGCGGCTGTCCCCACCACAGGTGGGGGAGGGAGATATCGTATCCGGTGGGCTGGGCTGTGCTATGCGGATGGGCAAGCTACAGGAGCCTGATATTAAGGTTTTATGCTACCGTACGGTATCCAAGCACGCTGGAAGGGAGGGTTACCGGTATCACAGGAAGTGATATTGTGACAGTGTTTCTCCTTGTACCGTATCATCCCTGCCGGCTCCGGCTAATGAGTGCCCACCCTTGTACTCGAGTACCTGTACCGTACCATTGTAGTTCTCAATCAAGCCATTAGATTAGCCTAGGGTCAGGGTTGGGCTGGGCAAGGGAGGCGGACTGTTTCCTGATTGGAACGAATTGCAAAAGGAGTGCGTGAGAATTTCGCTCTCTTGTCGAAAGGTTAAAAAAGCACGGGGCAAGTGGCTCAACAACACACTCGTACAGTACCGGTACAGTGCGCAGTACGTAAGCAGGAGCCGACTCCTCCTAACGACGACAAGGCTGGCCCTTGCAATTGCAGAGAATGCCTGCGCCGGCACATCACGGTGCGGTACCGGTACCGTACAATACAAGTGAGTTACGATAGTCTGTCTGTCTCACCCCCTCCCCGGAACGCACCCGAATCAGCTCTTCAAATTCGGCCTCCACCACCAGGACAGTACTCGAGTACTGTAGCAGCCGCCTCACCAAGCCCCAACCCACAGAGCTGCTACTACAGTACAAGTACTGTACTGTGCCGGCATTATCATCAATCAATGGCCCGAGCGAAGCCCCCCCTCAACCCTCCTCCCTCTCGCCCGGCCCGCGGCAAATCCCATGGTTATCATACTCTGCAGCACTTGATACAAGCACTGGTACCGACAACAAGCACCCTACCCGAACACGTGAATTAAACAAATATCTGGCCAATCGTCTGTGCGCATCGGTGCGCCCATTACAAAATTCGAACGTTCGGGGATGACACTGGTTGCGTGTAACAAGTGACCATCCCATCCCTCTGCCCCCTCTCCTCAGTCTCCTGCCCTCCGGTCCATCAGCCCATGCTACGGTAACAACTCCATCTTTCGTCGATAAAATATATAAGAAAAAGCCTTATCAATATTATCATTGTTCTCTCAAATGCCATCAGTTTTGTCGGTCCCCTTCAACCCTCTCTATCTCTCCCAAAAAAAAAAAAATCCCTCCCCCGACCCCAGGTAACGTTGGAGGCTCGGATTGGCTCTCCAACTGGGAAGGTCAGGTCCACAGCCAAGCGAAGAGGACGAGTGAAGCGGGTTATGGGAAATTGCGTTGGAGAGTGAAGGAGGAAAAAGGAAAAAGGAAAAAAAGAAAAGAAAAATCTTGGAGAGATTCCATCACTGACGACCTTTTCGAAATCGATACCGGTAGCAGATCCTTCTCACCTTTCTCACCCACAATTCGGACGAGGTGGGTGGGTGGTGTGGATGGATGGTCCTGGATTCCGGTATCTACCGGTTAACAAACCTTAGTACCTACCGGTAGCGTATCAGATTAGTACCGGTACTGCATCTACGAGTATAATGCCTATACTATCTATGGCGAACGCCTGTGTGGGATTTAAAAATTATCCTTCTCCAGATTTCATTTGACTGTAATACTCGTACGGTATCATAATGAGGAGCAGGAGCAGTGAGGAGTACTGTACGGCAAAGGTTAATTGCTTGCCTGTTGCCCGATTCAGACTGACTCCCTGCCTCCCTGCCTCCCACCTCAGGCGGCACAGTGCGTTACAATCAGTCCGGTCTGTCCTTTACCGTGGTCCTACAGTACTCGTACAGAGAGAAAAAAAAGAAGGGGAAGGAATGGAAAGGAAATGGAAGGCAGACGCCTACCGTTTTATTTAGTGCATGTTTAATAGCATATCATACATAAATATCATACATAATTTTGGGCTGAAGCATACCGGTACTCGTACTGTACGGTGGGACCGCGGACTCAACCTCCAACGTTGCCCGGTTTCTGTTTTCCTGAGGAGTTTCCTCCTCCGCTTCAGCCATCCCTCCACTTCTCTCCTTGGGGAACGTGGCCTCAACAAAGGAAAAAAAAAAAAAGGCCCCTACCTTTGTAACACACAAAGCGAATCCCTATAAAACCTGTCCAACGCAAAGTGAGGGAGGCACAGATGGATCAGAGTGCGGTAAGAGGGAGTACCGTAATAGAGAGAATGGAAGCGGTATGTTCATAAAATAAAATAAAGACCCTTAATCCAGGCCAAAGTCATATCCTCCCTCCCCCCTCTCTCTTCCAGAGAAAAAAAAGAAGAAGGAGAAGAACAATCAATACCGGTTAAGATCTTGCGCCTCCATTCCGATTTTTTTCTCCCAGAGCTGACGTCGATATAGGGCGCGCATATATAACATTGCCGAGATCATAAAGATATGGTGTGTATATATATTAATATTACTCCGCCATTGGGTTGAAGATTTTCCATAGATTGGAATTCACGTTTATTACTATTCCATCCTATGCACGTTTTCTGTACGGACAGGAAAAATATAGTAAGGTGGCGTAGCGTATGTTGAAGAAGGATCGCACAGGGCTTCTCTTTTTTCTTTTCTTTTTTCCATTTTTTTCTCTTTCCCTTTTTGCCTCTTATTACCCCCATTTACTAACTACTCCGCCTCATACCTCATCTCTTGTTTTATGTCATAGGTAATCTGTTTTACCTATCAACTGATCATGTTTCTTCTCTCTCTCTCTCTCTCTCTCTCTATCGATCACCTTCTTCTCTTCGCTTGCTTGCCTTCAGCAATTGTGCCTAATGAAGCAGGGTCGGCTCGGCGATTTTTATTTTATTTATGCATTTTTTTTGCCGTATATCCACGTGTGCTTTACAGGTTTTATGTAACTCGATAGATTAGTATCATCTAAAAGGGAGTGTCGTCACCCACTGCCATATTCATTAATTATGTCTCAATCCCATTTTCCCCAATATATCCTGGCATCCCAAGGTATGATACCTAATAAAAAAAAAATGGCAGCGTCACACCCATCCAATACCGCACGATATAAGTGACTCTTCTCTTTCCTTTTTTTTTTCTTTTCCTTTTTTGAAAGTGGGTGCTGTGTGGTACTACAGTACTACGGTACTCGTACTTGACATATGAGGACGGAGTACGAGTCCAGTACCGTACAGATATCAGACAGACAGACGGTGAGGCGCTGGGCGGATAAAAGTGAAATAAAAAAAATAAAAAAATAAACAACGGTGTGACCTGCCAGATTTCAGACATGTGAGGGAGTACAGTACTGTACCACAGATTTTTTTTTTTCTTCCTTTTTTTAATGTTTAGTTTCCCTAAAGACGTCAGGAGCAGTAAGTAAGAGAGCTCCTGATAATAACTCTTTCTTTCCCTTACGATCCAGCTTATGGTATCCACGTATGAGATGGTATGTGCAATTCATTAACTTTCTACCTTACCTTACCTTACCTTGCCTTGCCTTCTCCCCCCCTCCCCACAAGGTAATAATAAGCACGGCAGGTGGAGCGCTTTCTGCCTCTGGTGCTTTCCTTCCTTCCTTCCTTCCTTCCATAATTTATAATGATTTAGTCGTTCGGCTTAATACACTTTCCCCCGTAATGTGTAAATACGTAAACGTGTAATAAAGGATGATACAACAATGCTGTAGTTATTTTCGTGAGGCTTTACTCGGGTTTAGCCAAGTGCTGGGTGTGGGGGGGGGGGGGTAACTACTCGTACGGTATGTGCGGTGACGGTACGGTAGATATTATATGTACTAGCACAGTTCAGTTGAAGCCTAGCTGCCTAGCTGGCTGATGAACGCCTTTCAGATGGACTCGCCAAAAACGGCGTCTGATACCAGTTGTGTCACGACCGGTATGATAGGAAAAGTCAGCCAGGGAGAGGGAGAGGGAGAGGGAGAGGATAAGAGGGAGCTTAAACGGGGCATGGATCGCTTGGAACTTTCGGTTCGTCGGGAAACCAATAGATAAGTGATCAGATGGAGCTTTTTTGCAGGGTTCGTTCCCGTGCTGCCTGGCCGATGCTCGTTGATAATACCGGTATCGCACCATATGCAACCAATTGACAATGTCTTGTCTTGCAACCTCTTTCTTCCTCTTGCTATTCTTCTTCTTATTTCTTATGATACCTTGCTTGCCTCGCCCTAATCCCTCCCCCTCCCCCCCTTGTATGATACGATACTCTATTTTTTTTCTTTTTTTTTTTCCCACATACCGATCCTCGCATTGCACTTTAAACTAGGCCCGGATACCTCAACCTTGGTTGATTTGTTGAATCCGCAGGTAGGGCCACATGGTCAAAAAACCCCTAACCCTTTGCCAAGGTACGGTAGTCCTTGACCCCCATTGATTGGCTATCGGTTACTGTAATAAATAATAAATAATACCCAACTTGAAGGGCACCCACGCTGTTGTATTCTTTTTTTTTTTCTTTCCTTTTCTTTCCTTTTCTTTCCTTTTCTGCCTTCTTTCGAAATGAATAAACGGATATCATACGAGTATATGAAGAAATACAAGAGCCACTCGATCATCAGCCTGAGAACCCTCCCCGTAAATGCCTGGATGGTAACACTTTAGAAAAAAAAAAAAAAAAAAAGAAAGCCAAAAGATGCAAGGAGTTCTAGGGCGGTTTGGTGGGAAGAAGGGGGAAAAAAAAAAGAATAGAATAACAATATTGGTGGTAGTATTGTAGACCAAGCGGAAAAAGCAAGAAAAATGCTTCGCCATGGGATACCGGTACTGAGCTAAATTTACATATGAAATTTACATATGCGCCCAGCTCTTAGAACTAGCCGCCTCGAGGTTGTTAGTTGCTTCTCCTCCCCAATAGATTTCTCTCACCCAGTCCATATGGCAAGAGCGGGGGAAGGAAGGAGGGATCGAAGAGAGTGGTGGAGAGAGGGAGTGGGGGGGGGGGGGGATAGAGAAAACGAACGATTGTCAGAATACCCTCCTCATACGGTGCAATACTTTATTTGTACGAGTACAGTGCACTGCACATTGCTGGTACCGGTACAAGCAAGTACGAGTAATAGAAAGAGGACGGTGGTGAACTGCTTGCACTGTACCGGAGTGGATAAGTTAATCAGTAAAACTCGGCATTTAAAGGAACGTGCAGTACTCCGGTTTCATACCCACCATGACCACCGCGACCGCCACGACCACCATCATCACCCCGGCGGCACCAACTTTTATTTTATTTTAATTTTAATTTTTACCGTATGGACGAATGATCTATTGGGACGACATGGCCTGGCCTGGTCCGGCCTGGTTAGGTTAGTCACTCAGCTTGTCACAAGTTACATACGGCCACCTGGTTAGGGTCGCCTGCCTGCCTGGCTGACTACGAGTACCTGCGCGGCCAGGTCTAGCCGGGTTTACAATAAGTAGTCGCGAAGATCTAGGCGGGGTTTGTTAATAAAGTCTAACAATCTCTAGCATCGGACTGGTAGAGGTAAAATAGAAAAAAAAATAAAAACACATGGCGATAACCTGGAGCCAAGTCCGGGGGGAAGGAAGGAAGGGGGCGCACTAAGTATTATAGCGCAGCGCAGTGCTGTCATACAGAGGAGCACGATACTCCTAGGGGAAAACTTTCGCTGGGGATTGCACTGGTTACTAGTACGATATCATGGGTAAAATTTTATTGGTCGACCCCCCCCTCCTTAGTGACGGTACAAATCATAATAGGGTTTTTATTTTATTTTTTTACCTTTTTTGCTCGTCGCTCTCTTTCTTCTTTCCATTGTTGTACTGTACTCATCATGCGATACAGTATCCTTTTCCTCCTGCACAGGTACAAGTGCGGGTAGGCCCTTTCGTTAATCGTCACTGTATCCGTGACCGCTCAACTACCGTAGTGTGACAACAACGTTCCGTTTCTAATACATTGCAATCTGTGCAATACCGGGAGAGCCTCACCTTGGGCATATTCCGGTATATATCATACCACACGAATAGATAGATAGATAGAATACTGTGCCCCGCCTTAACCATTCATTACCGTGCTCGTGGAATATATTCTAATATCGAAAGTTAATTTCGCGTGCTATTCGAGTTATATGATGATACTACTTTCCATCGCCCCCCCCACCCCGCCCCACCCCTTCCTACCCTATGGTATTGTGCCGGTACTGCATCTAACCTATTGAAAACCCTAAGTGTGATCGGACACTCACCTAGTAGAATATTAATATGATCAAAGGATCACAGGAGGAAAAAAAAAAAAAAAAGGGCTGCGCCTATGATATGCAAAAGTGTCTATTTGGAAGATTAGCCAGTTAGGGTCATTTTTTAGGCTCCGTGGGGAGAGACAGTTTGATGTCTCGTCTCAATAGAACTTTCCCGGTAGGTGTAACTAATAAAGGCATCATACCGCACTTTTCCAGATACCGGATCCGTGCACCCTATCTGTCTGTCTGTCCCTCGCTATGTCTAGCCCATGATAGTTAGCCATAACCAGTAGTAAGTAGACTTGGTTAACCGTTTGCATATGACCTGGCTCGAGCTTCGCCGCTTTAGATGTTCTAGGTGTGCCATTCATTTGCAGTAAATTTAGTTGGCAAGTATTTGAGAAAAGTATTGGGATTCCGGAAAGGGACATCCCCCCCCCCTCCCCATCCACCCGGCGAGCCCCAGGTCCCGTTGTGTTGTATGAATGCGTGTGTGGAATGCTTGCGCCTGGGGGCCGAGTTTCTTTATCCGCCCTTCATCTCTTCCACTCTTTTTTTCTCTGCTATCCCTCCGCTTTTCTGGCCCCGCATAAATCACCAAAGACCGCATACCTTACAGTACTTATTAATTTTTTAGGAGAAAGCCGATTTGCAATCGGTGGTAAGACTCGACTTATTAATCTGCTCGCATGCGCCTCGCTGAATACTAACAAATAAGGTATTGTATTACCGCGGGACCGGGGGAACTTCAACAGTTGGTTCTCTACCTCCAAGTCAAGGAATAGGATCAAAGGTTCTTGGCGTGTTAACACGTCGTTATTAGCCAGCAAGGGATAAGGCTAAATAAATAATTCCTTACTGCAAGCCCCAAAAAAAAACTCTAGCTCCGGCTAGCAAGAGGGGGTGGTGTAGTAGTGGTGGTGGTGGTCTATATTGTAACGAGTAGCAAGTAAAACTTGACGGAATGAAAAGTGGTGGGCTGGTGATAAGCCTAATTTGTGAAGAATGCCAGGAATAGTCTACTTGTAGACTATCGCACTTGTCATTGTTAATACAGTACCAAAAACGGCTCCTACCGAGGTGAACCAAACCATTCGGCCACCGTGCTGAATCCGTGTGCCTCCCGGGTGATAAGTTTCTACTCTCGGAATGAGGGAAACTGACCCGAAAATTACTCGTACTTTCTCTGTACGAGCGGGACCTCCGGTCGATCATTCTTCTTCTCCCTATTACTTATTTACATGCACAGGTACTAGTACGAGTACTTACCGGTACTCAGTACTGCAGCACTCTCAGAAGGGGAGGGGGGGGGGGGGGTGCAGAAGAGGAGCGAGCGTCCCAATCAAAATTCATGAAATTGTGGCGAATTTGTATGGGAACACTCGGTCCTACTCCACGTTAGCATCCCCCCTCCCAAGCACGTTACCTGAGCGTGCACGCAAGGTCAAATAGACCAGGCAGTCAGTCCCTTTTGGCTCGGGGCGAAACCGATGAGAAAAAAAAAAAAGAAGCTGAGCCTACCGACGGCAGTGAAAACCAACGAACGACCCGGCTACAATACTGTATTGCCGGTACTGCACGGAGGATACCCGATGATGGGCGGTAAGGCAATGCACACCATGTAATAGCGCATTTGGTTAGTGTCAAATTACCGTGTCACCCTTAAAACTATAATACTTACTTATCATAAGGCAATCCATGATACCGGAAGGGTTATATCCAAATTTTACTGACTAACCTTATGCCGCTTGGGTGGCTTACCAGTTCAAGCACAGCACCCTACTACAGCGCCAATCACAGGACTTTATGCACTTTCCGCCTTGGCTCGCTCACCTGCCTCAAGCCTCGAATGGTTATGATCAGCTGCAGGATTCAGTTATGGCTTATCGGAGTCCATTGATTACTAGTACCGTATCATAACTAGTTCTCCTACATCGCTCGTGCTCGCCATTTCTCCTCACCCACCACCACTCCTCACCACTACTCTCCTAGCAGCTGAACATGGCCAGAAAGGTCGGATCTTTTTCTTGTTTTTTTTTTCTTTCACTCTTCCCAGTACCCAGACGACTCGGCACATTGGGTGAACTCAAATATTCTCCGCAAATCACAAAGTTCAAACCGTTCCAGGACAGCCTGTCTATGACTTTTGCCGTCTCACATCGACCAAGGGATACCCTTTCGCCTTACTCTCCACTATTTCGCCCTCGAGTGAGAACGCATGAACTCCCATGCTTTTTCGCCCGACAGACTGACTCACTTGGAATGGCCCAATCGTAATGTGATATATCCCACCACCACCACCACCACCACCCGCTCCACCTATCGTCACCACCGCAGCTCGACCACTAATACCGCCCGAAAATAAAAGTTTCACAAAAAAAGAAGAAAACCACTAGCTTCTCCGGACCGGAGGAGGAAGGAGGAAGCAAGGAAGCAAGCAGGAGGAAGAAGAAAGAAAAAACCATTCGTGTCAATTTGGTTAGAAAAAGTACATAATGGAATGGATAAACCAATTGAACCGTAGAAGCCCTCGAAAACCCATTCGATTCGCTAAACTCTCTTCACCTTCTCCCCGCCCCATCCTGCGCTCTTGCGGCACATTTTGCTTTTGCGGACATAATTTCCCATTACTTCACCCCCCCCCCCAATTCCCCCACGGGCTACCGCCTCTGTGCTCTCCACCAGCGAGAGAGAGAGAGAGAGAGAGAGCGACCGCAGGAAAACAAAAGTAAACAAAACACAGTAATCACGGGCCTTCTTATCTCGTGTGGGAATTATTGAGGTTTGATTAGTTGCCCGGTGTTTTGAAGTGAGGCTTGGGAGGTTTTTTTTCTTTTTTTCTTTTTTTGTGTGTTCAGGATACGGTTGATGTGTCGGGACTATCATACTTGTGGAATTGTGCAAGAGTACTGAATGTTAGCTTGGTTACGGCGCCTACCATGCCGTCCTGTACGACAGTCCGGGACTGTGGTAATTGGTATTACTCGAGTAGATAGCTAGCTACCCGGGTACGGTACGGTAGCTGCCGTTAATAGCGACACGAAGTGAGCGCGGAAATACTACCTGTACATGACTGATCACTCAAGTTACTGACCGTGGGTATAAGTACTCGTAGCAGGCAAGAAGTGTCCGATAGCAGGGGGGCGAGACGTTGTTGGCGCCGGGGGATAGAGATAGGGTGTGACAATGGGAACACTGGCATGGGGAGTAAATGGCGCTCCCAGAACCTGGCCAAGACCCAGAACGTAGTAAAGAATCTTGTGAACATGATGATAACTGTAGATTTTATAAACTATAGCGCACTGGCATGAGCATTCAATAAACAGTTAGTGAACAAAACTTGAAACATTAAAATTTAAAACTAAAGACTATCTCCCATGCTGTATGTTGAAAATAGTGGTCAATCAAACTTAGCCACTTGGTAAGTCCAGGGAAATACCTAATCATAAACTGCTTTATGGGTATAGACTATATCCTCCATTATCATATAAAGGGATATCACCTAGTGCCAACTGTTTTGAGTTGATGTTGGTACTAAGTGATAGTACCGGTGGTTCAAGTTGAACTATTAATGAGGGAAGTTCTATTCTTTTTCTTCTTTAGTGTTGCTGGGGCATGACAGATGCTCTAAACTGTAATGTAGTCTAAGTTTTTTTCTGCTCATGGTATATAGAAAAGTCTCGATTCTACTGAGCTAGTTCGAGTATATCCAACAAGAAGTGCTTTATCGTTAAACTCACAGACCACCAAAAAACCTCGGGCCTAATGGCATTTCGCACCCCCCTGATATCGGATACTTCTTGCCTACTACGAATAGTAACTGCTGTCAGCTTCAGAAAAGGAAGGAAAGCAAAAACAAACAGCCGTGTAACTGTGCGGCTCGCGCAGTTGGTATATATTACATATGTTGATCAAGTATTACACTTACCGGTACCGAACTTAGTGATTTACCTTCTAACAAATAAACTAGTAGGCTTACAGGCCTCTGAAACCCATTACTATTACCTATATATTATACTTTTTTACTAGTATCGGCGGCTGATAATCGACAACACGCTTAGAAACCACCACCTCGCCCCGTACCCTCTCGTATTCTCCCGGTATTCCAAGACGGTAGGAAAAGGGGCTGGGGGGGGGGATGGGTAGGGGGAGGAGGGAGAAAAAAATAAAAATCTTCAAACGTGCTCCGAAATACATCATTCGGCAGATAGATCCTGATTCTCTCACCCTGCCCCTTCCATTCCCTGCGGAGATTTGGATCTCTGTCTCTCCGTTCGGTATCCGATCTGTTTAGTAATCTTAGTAACCAATCAAGCTTCCCTGCCCATACAGACGGACGGGTGGGCAGACATGCAGGCAGGCTTCCAAGAGGGTTGGCAGCGAATAACTTAACTTGGACCCAGCAGGTATGATACTTGTGAGGTGGAGCATTCCTTCTCCCTTCTTACTTTTACTTTTTACGGTACTAAGCTTCACGGACCGAATTAGGGCATGCACGGCGCGCTATGGGGCACGGTACGGCCGGGTACGGTGCACGAGTAGGATAATCGTAATTGGTCTTCGTTTCGTATTAGTTCATGATACTCTACGGGCAATCAATCATTCCAACTTAGGTAAGGGAAAAAGGCCTACGGGCGTTGGTTAGGCTGCGTGTAGTAGTGGCCAAGTGAGTACCGGAACGAGTACTCGAGTAGAGGGAAAGGAAAGAGACAGAAGCCTTACCAGTTATGGCAGCGCTGCGCGATTGAGCGGTTTTGTGTTGGGTTGGGAGGGCGGGAGAAAAAAAAAAGAAAAACCGCAGGGCACTGATTGATTGATTGATTGATTGATTGATTGATTTCTTGATTCGTGGGGCTTTTTGGTGAGTTTTGGTAGGCTGGGTTGCCGGCTGGCTGTTTTGAGGCTAGTAGTTTTACGAGGTTCGGGGGTTTGGTTTGTGGGCCCCGAGGAACATGAGCGAATTGGCTCATGATGTGCACATGGTGGTGTGTAGTTCTGCTACCAATACCATACTGATATCGGCGGGAGGGGAGGTGTTGAGCAGGGTTTTTTTTCCCTCTTTTATGATCGTTTGGTCCGATTTTTGGCGTGGTGAAATTATAATATAATAGTCTGATAATATAATGCCTTGGATTATAATACAATGGGTTTTATATGTGATTAGTCTTCCAATATTGTCGAGATTCAATGGCATGGGTCATCACTCGACGAATTGGTTGAATGTTGGGGTAACACCTAATGCGCACTAAGTTATATCTCTGCAACCCGGAGTGAATCGATACATGTATAGTTAGTTAGTAAAACGTAGTTTTTTCGTCTTGCTAGGGATCTTGCGCCCTCAAGGCGTCTCCCTATCTCTTTTGCACCTACTGCGCGTCGAAGCACCCTCTCACCTTCTTAATAACAGCCCCTCTTTCCTTCCCACCGCCGAGCCAATCCCATCCAGTTAAGGCTTCTATAGCCTTTCCATTAGTCTCATTTCCCAAACACCCAGTAACACCGACTAAAACTTCAGCAGCCCCCTCTCTGATTTTTGGGAATGGGTGATTTAGCATAGCCACGAGCTTGTCAACCACAGCCTTTCTTCCTAGTTTATCCTCGTTCATGTAGATCGCACCATAGACCCTCACTGCGGCAGATAATCTGCCGTGATTGGCGCTTTTATAGTGTGCCTTTTGAATAGAAGGAAACAAGCTTGCAGGAGGAGCGCAGGGAATTGATTCCAAGATCGCTGACATGACCTCTAGTGTTGGGATTGTGGTTCTTTCATGTGGCAGGAGTGATGTTAGGGTGATTAGGATAGGTTTTGGGGAAGTGTTTGATAGAAAGGATAGCAGGGCTGCCCGTGAGGTTTTTAATAGACTGTCCGACCCTGCGCCAGCGGAGAGTACAAGGCCTTTCAGGAATGGCGTTGAGAGGCGAGGGTGGGTTAGCAGTGATATCAGAGATGTAAAGTATTCATGCGATGAGACAGAGGTGGTTGATATCTCTGATTTAAGTACTTGGCTATTATCGATTAGCAAAGGATTGGGAATGGGCCTGGAGGGATAAGCCATACATATTAATGTACTCGACTAGGCCCTTCCACTTCTCACTCTCGGATATTCTCACAAAAGCTTCACAAGCCCTCACTCGAATTCGGTCGAGTCTTTCGGCACAAAGACGAACTATTCTTTCCAGAATCTGCCACTGAGCATCTTCATTCCCTAAGCGTTCCCACTGCTCAAATACGGCCTTAATCCCTTCCGAGCGCACCCAACTACCGACATCACCTCGTGAATCAACCTCGTAGTCATCGAGGGAATTTACTATCGTCTGGCTCACGTCCTCCGTAGAATCTTCTTCTGATAAAATTCCCCTGGAAATAGCTGTTATACCGGCTACCCGACATTCAACTTCCTCAGAAGCGGCTGCCTTCAATAGTGACGAAACAGTAGCTTTTCGCAGGTTTGTGGGACTTGGAAGGAATGGAAGGACTTCGCCCAGGGCAAGAATGTACCCACGTTTTTTCCGGTTGGAAGATGCCCGGCGATTCCAAGATGTAATTAAGTTTTCCCTGTTCGGGAGTGATGACAGAGCTATGAGTTTTCTAGCTGCTGGTACGGCTTGTTGAAGGACCATGTCCTCATTGCGATCCAGACTTGCCTCTAGTATGGCGGTATAGAGTCTGACAACAGGGATTGGGAGAGGATTGAGGTGACAAAGAGCAAAGACAAGACGGGATGTCGATTCGGAAGTTAATTCTGGGCGAAGGAGGGTATTAAGAAATTCATTTCCTGTGAGCTTCTCAAACGGAGGCAACAGTAAGGACGATTTTATCGGGGTAAACACATTAGGAGGGACAGCAAGGATCGCGGAGGCCAGAGCCCAAGTTGCGCCATGGTATATTTCAACATCTCCTTTCCCATCAGTCTGGATTCGGCGGAGAAGAGATGATACAGTCTCCACCGCACGCTCAGCAATTTTGCCGCTTGGGTATTCATCATCTCCGGGTAGGGTAATGTATATCAACTCTCCAAGGCCATCCCCGCTCAATTTCCTCCCGTCAACATCACCACTGCCGATGCCCCGCCACCCTTCTATCATCCCGCTGGTAATTCCATGCCAGTACCCACTACCCAGCTCTGCTGCTTCCGCTGCAACCTTGACCACGCTTCTCCGGCGTAGTGCAACAGCGTTATAATCCACGACATGCACAACTTTTATACCCTCCTCAACCATTCCGGGATGTCTTCCTACAAGTTCCTGCAAAGCTGCAGATGCGGCTCGCCGGATATTCCCTAGGGGATCCAGTGTCCCGCCAACAATCAACTCAGTAGCAAGAACTTGCTGGATAAACCCTCGCCGATCAAAGTTGCCCACGGCCCTCAACTCATCAGTTGTATACGACCGAGAAAGGCTCCAGGCAGCATAACAAGCAGCGTCGCGCACGTTCCCGCCCGCAGCAAATGTAGTTCTCCGTTGTTCAAACGACAAAGAAGTTATTATGCAGTGAACCACACGTTCTAGCACATTTGTACTACGGACAGCCCTTTCCCGGAGAAATGTGGCAAGCGTAAGCGTTGCTCCGTGCCATTTCTCGGCGTTGACTGCTGTAAACATCTTCTTTCTATTTGGTCCATAACGAGGAGAATAGAATATGTCCTCCTCATAGATACCCATAACAGCTTCTAGGACATCCCCAGCCATATCTGGCGGTAGTTTTCTCGAAATGACTGCGAGCGATTTCGAAGCACCAAGACGCACGGCGGTATCTCTATCACCAAGAGAGCTTAGTAGTCGTTCGATTATGTCTTCGACAACATTGTCCTCGCCCCTCTCTTCGCCTTCTCTAGTCAAAGATAATATTGCAACCCATCGGTATATTTTTGTCCCAAGCCTTCTAATGCTAGCAGAGTCCCATTCCTTCCCGTCTTCGGACTCAATTCTTTGTACGAGCCTAAATATCGGCATGACGAATGGGGTGATCGCAATGCGATCGGCCTGAGCCAGTAAGCCAGCCAGAACGGATAGAATACTAGCTTTTCGGAAGAGGCTAGCGTATGCTGAATCCGTAGACTCTTGCTTAATTGAAAAAGTGACCAGACACCATGAAATCATAGCTGGGAGAAGTCCCAACAACCCCATATCCTTCCGGATACACAGCCGAACAATCAAGAGTGATGCGGTTTCGCTCTCGCGATTTCCTGGTGAGGCAAGATGTGCAATTGCCAATTGGAGGAGTTGCCTAGATAGGTCGGGTAGCTCTTTGATATCAAGGAGCTCTGGAAGCGGTATCGGCTCCGTGCTTGGGGTCGAGATGGTGCTTATATCGAAGGGTGTAAGGAGTAAATGCGATAACCATAGCAATAAAATGAACCGAAATTGCCAGCTGCCTGAGGATTCTGTACTTTGAAGCGTAAGTAGATATGTGAGTGGTTCTAACCAGCGGGGTTCGTTAGGTAGAAATCGGGTAATAATTTTGGGGCCCCGGATCTTGCACAGCGTGTAAAGTAACCTAGAAATTGCTTCATGAGATGATATTTCCGCACGGTCGAAACCTGTTGATTTGGCCAACGGGGGTGGAGGAGTCTTCGCATTTGAAGTATCGAGAAGAGCCAGGAAAGCGCTCGTAAGCGGTGTGAGAAACGAGTTTAAATACGGATCGAGGAGTTGCGGAGACTCTTGGAACGGTTCTATCTGTGAAATGTTAATCAACATACGGGCGGGGAGGTAGGAATGCCCACAAGAACTCTCATGGAGTCAACTTCCTTCGAGCCAACTGTTGACCGGGCAGAGCCATCTTCGTGTAAAAGGCGGGGGAGGGATTCCTTAAACCGAAGGAGGAGGTCGCCTGAAACCTTTTGTAACTTGACATCTCGATCTTCTGGGGCATCCATTTTCTCTTCTCTTTGCTTCCCTCTTCTGAAATTTCCCCTGAGATTTTATCCGTTGAGGTTGAAGGTTTTTTTAGTTGAGGTGTTGGTGGTGAGGGCCGAACGCTAACTGTGCTCATGGGAGCCGCGTTTCTGCTGCAGGCCGCGGTCACCGTAATCGCCAACCCAAGACCTGCCCGTAAAAATCATTATTCACTAAAACAACAACATAAACTACACACAACTATCCACAGCACCCCCCCCCTCCCTCCCTTGCCACCTCACACAACACACTCTGTTGAAAACTCTCTACAAAGGGTGTCGCGATCCACCTACCCTTATCTCTAGCCGTCAATATGAGTGATCTCGACCAGTAGCTCCCTTCATCCCAGAATTACTGAGCCTATTCGCTGACTTAAGCTACAGCGCGATATCCCTTCTCCGCTCATGCAAACCAATCCCTGAACCGGCCGTTCGAGAGCTGTGCTATAAAGCCCGCGAGCTCCTGATCGAGGAATCAAATGTCCAACTTGTCGACGCGCCGGTAACAATTTGCGGCGACATCCATGGGCAATTTCATGATCTCATGGAGCTCTTTCGGGTCGGCGGCGATGTGCCAGAAACAAATTACTTATTTATGGGCGACTTCGTTGATCGCGGGTTTTACAGTTTAGAGTCGTTCTTGCTTTTACTGAGTCTGAAGGTGCGATATCCGGATCGAATAACCCTTATTAGAGGGAACCACGAGAGCCGACAGATAACCACGGTTTACGGTTTTTATGATGAATGCCTTAGAAAGTATGGAAGTGCTAATGTGTGGCGGTATTGTTGTGAGGTCTTTGATTACCTTGCGTTGGGTGCACTGGTTGTTGGCGCTGGGTCGTTCGTTGGCGATGAGAATGAAGAATGTGAAGTTGAGGTTGTAGGCGTTGGCGGCGATGTTGTTACAAGGTTGAAGAGAAGAGATGATGGAGCTGGACTGATGAATGCTGCTAACCCTCTACAGGAGGGCGGTGCTGGCGGTGGTGATGGCGGGACAGTAGGAGGGCCGCCTGGCTCCGGTGCTTCAGGAAGTTCTGGGGGAACAAAGGGTGTGAATAACGGTGCTGTTCTTTGCGTTCATGGAGGATTAAGTCCTCTTGTGGACAGCGTGGATAAGATTCGATTGCTCGATAGGAAACAGGAGGTTCCGCATGAAGGCGCAATGTGCGATCTCCTCTGGTCTGACCCAGATGGTAACTTATTCCCTCTGCTTTCAACCCTGGATCTCTGTCACAGAAAACTGACAGAACTAGAGATCGATGGTTGGGGCCTTTCTCCTCGTGGTGCCGGCTTTCTCTTCGGAGCTGATATAGTAAAACATTTCAATCACCTAAACAACCTGACCTTGATAGCCCGAGCCCATCAGCTTGTAATGGAAGGCTTCAAAGAAATGTTCGATTCCAGTATCGTGACTGTCTGGTCAGCACCAAATTACTGTTACCGTTGCGGTAATGTAGCCGCAATTCTTGAGCTTGGAGAAGAAAGGAATGGCAGTGGCTCTGGTGTCCAGTGGTCCGCAGGTGCTGGCCGAGGACAGGGATCCGGTGTGGCCAGAAGGGGGCCAGGTAGGCGATACCGAGTTTTCGAAGCGGCCCCCCAGGATAGTAGAGGAATGCCAGCGAAAAAGCCGGTGGCTGATTACTTCTTGGTATGTCCTATCCTATGGCCCGTAGTCGACCTATTGCTAACACTTTCCAGTAATATCATGTTTAGAAGGTGGCAATCGGGTGTTGGGGTTTTGGTTGGGCTCCATTTCGTATAGTTTTAAGTCTTTTGTAAATTGGGTTACCTTTCATCCTATCACTCATTTTACATATCTTGCTCCCGGAACACCCAAAGCTCCAGACTTTAAACTCTACTACATGCTTATGAATAATCAACCGTGAACACCTCGAGAAGGGGCTGAGCGTAGTCAACCGGGTGGCGCGTAGAAGCAGTGAGATGATCGAATTCAAACCTTAAACGATCCAGTAGGCTTCAGTACTAGTCTACTATCGTGATAAGTGATAACCTCCTTCTCGCTTTTTATTGTTCCCAGATATCCTAGATTACGGTTACCTATCTCATCCCTTGATCCGGGTGTGTGGATTTCGCAGCTTTGTAGCACGGTGAACGGCCCAGGTTAATCTCAGATCCTTACCAAAAATACCGTACAGTACTATGGCCGAAGAGCTCTTGCTGTGACCTGACCAGCAGAAAACATCTGGACGATGGTGACACATTTGTACTCCCAATCTCGGAATATTCCGTGGAATTAAAAAGCGGTAAACACAGGCGAAGGGGCAGAGACCAAGAATTCCCCGAAGGAAGTGTCATCTATCCCCCCATAGCCTAGGCCTATTAGAATTGTATCCTGATTGCGGCTTCCTACATATGATACTACCAGCACTCTGGCTCAGACGAGTGACTTCCAGTGAATACTGATTGCTGGTACCTGCCTTGGTAACAAAAAAAAGGATTAGGACTGGCCCAGGTTTGATGCATCAGACGTTCTATCATAGGTAACTAGACTATAAGAATAACCGTATAGGTAGGTAGCTTCGGGTGCACCGCGAGCTGTCTATTTAAGCTTTCAGTAGCTCGCCAACCCCTAATCTGCGGGAAGTTCCGCTGGGAGGCTGCCAAACGAGACGCCTCGCCAGTTGCGACAACCACACGCACGGCAAGGCATTGCCTACGGCACTGTAAGAGGGACAGTTATCGTACAAGTGTCTGTGGTGATAACCTAATGCTGCCTTCAGATCATTAGGGCGCAGAATTACAAGTACAATACCGGTACCGGTACTATGATAGCCCTTCGGGGCCGCAGTTGAACACGACCCTCGTGGGAACAAGAAATCCGCCCGTGTCATAACAGAGCCTCATAAGACGCCGCGGCGCAGCACAACACCTTGCTGCAGCGTGCCCCCTGGGACGCCCGACCGGAGGCAGAAAGCCTGACCTGCAAGCCTCCATCAGCCTTGTGCCGCGGCTGCCGAATACTGGCTTATAATAACAACCGACTCTAGCAGTTGGGTCTAAAGTCTCTGCGGAATGATCGTGCTTCTATAGTAGAGAGCAGTTGTGAAATAAAAGACACCAATACGGGGTTAAGGGAGGCTTGCTAACCAGATAATTGGATGTGATGGCATAGAGAGAAACCGTACCATCTGGTTTCTAATCACGGGCAGGCTGTCACAAACGGCGATGCTTCTTGACTGTGGCGCCTGCGCCGAGACATTGTGCGAAGGCCCACGTCCCTTTTAGGGATGGGCGTTTTCTCTGGAGAGCCAACACGGGGGCGCTCCACGAACAAGGCTTACAAAACGGGAGGAAACTAAAAGGCCTTTGGGTGCTCGCTGTCCAAGCTCCAATTTGGAGAGCGCCATAGCAGACGAACATCCCACAAACCACCACTCTTGCATTAAAACGGCCTCTTCGTCATACCGTACACTGCGGAAGGTCTTTGCTCAAACCCCCGGAAGCGCATTCTGCCTGCTGATCGCGAAAATTCGACATGGAAGATAACCACACCCTAAAGGAGCACTTAGACGGTATAGTTGCGTTTGCTGATAGGTTAACAAGCGAATGGGAAGGGCAAATTGTCCCGCAGGTGAGAGAAGCCTTAGCTTCCTCGCAGGAATCAGGAATTTATACGGCTTTGGAGCCTGCTATCAATTCGATTCGCAAGGTGCTCTGGTCCATCCTTGAACCGAAGGAAAGCGGCAACACCGAAAGTGTTTTGGATGTTGGTGCTTTTGTCGACGCATCTTCCCAGGCCACACTGGTTCTTGAGGTTGCCACTGCTCAACAGGAGCTGTTGGCGGGCTTCAAGAGCAAATGGGAAAATCTGTTGGACCAGTGTGATGCAGCCAAGGTCAATCTTGATCGGATGCAGGCGGATATTTCTCGGGGACTGGGGGATACTGAGGCGCAACTCGTGATAGTAACAAGGAGAATGCAGAATGTTGATAACAGGCTGGAGATTAATCGAAACAGGATCAATGAAAGTATGTTGGCGAGGCCGATGGCAGTAGGGGTAAGTTGGTGGATTGGGGAAGATGGGGGGTGTGGAGTGGCATCCTTTATATTCACGGATCTTAGCTAACTATTGTCTATACAACCACAGCGGGAGGTTGTGGTTAGGCTACCTGTAGTTGGGGGCGCAGTACGTCAAGCAGTAAAATCTGCTATTAAGTAAGATATATCCTTCTCGTTTTTCTGCCCCTTTTGGCATGCACACAAACACACATATAGCCATGCAGATACTGATCCCAATTCCAGCAATATTGTGGGCCCAAACTCTCTTGAGCAGGAGAGAGAAGAGCTCACCATTCAGAACCACCAAAATGATTTCGACATTACCCAACTGAGAGGCCAGCTCGATCGTCAGGATAGAGATCGGACCGAACTTGTTGAGTTAGAGAGTGCAATGGAGCAGTTGCGCAGACCAGATGGGAGGTTGGGCGCCGTGCTTACTGAATTTGATCAACTAAGCCAAAAACTGAATGAGGACTGCAAATCATTATCGATCCGAGTCTCACAGATCAAAGGCCATATAGAAGATCTGATAGTTACAGCTACAGAACCCCGTGGAGGCGAAATGATTATCCTCAAAGCCGTTGAAGACCTGCTAAGGAATATTCAGAAAAGAGACAACAAGTTTTACACCATGCTAGATGGCATTGGAGATATGGTTAACAGGATTCGGGAGAATCAGCCGAATGAAAAAAGAAGAATTGAGGAACATGCGGAATGCTATTCACACCCAAGTCATGTTTTTAGACGTGGTAATTCATATACATACTTGCAGTATATCACGGGGCTGGAACTGATGTCTTCTTTTCTTCCCCCTAGTTTCACCACCTCCAAGCACAACTAGTACCCGGAGCGGGTCAGTATGGTCGGGTTATGGGGTTTCCGCTTCGGGCTCAGACTCAGTTAGATCAGCCGATACCGTGGGAGATCTTCTCGACCTTGAAGACGTCCCTGAGACAACAGCTCCAGAGGCTCCACTAATAAACCTTTTAGGGGAGGAAAACATTCCCCAAAACCCTTCTGTAGTAGAATTACTCCATGGGTTGGAGATTTCGCGCGGTTTGTTCACTCCATTTTCCCTTTGAGAGGGGCGAGGAATCTAACAGAGTCTGTCGGCTCGATGATGAAGGGGAAGAGCCATCGCTTATAGACCTCGATTCAGACCCGCAAGTTTATGGCACCGCCCGGGCATCTTCCAGGAGTCTAGGGTTCTTCCCAGGTTTGCCGACTTCCTCACAGTTCATAAATGAAGCTAACATTAAGCTTGGAGGTCTTTTTGGGGAGTTACCCGATGATCGGCCATCCCAGACGCCTCCTCTCCCGGATGAAGCTATACCGGAAGATCTCCTAGCCTCAATGGAGCTAGATGGTTTGTCTCTTCGTTCTCCTCAAAGGTTTCCTAATTTAAATCTCATACAAGTAGTAGTTTCAGAATCCTCGATGGAGGAACACATCAACGTGGTCCAGCCCCAGGAGCAACTTCCTGACTTACAAGACGATTCTCAAGCAACATCTATACACGGGGGGGGTCCAGCTGAAAGCATAGTTGAGGACGTGACTCAGGGAATCGGCTCTGAAAACACCTATCAGGCTACCGGTTGGTAAATCCTATCTTTCCCCTCGATCCTACTAACTTGTACCTCCATAGCAGAACCTCCGCCAAATGAGGTTCCAAATCCTCGGATCCCTACCATTGTAGTGGATCCTATAGACGAACCGCCGCCGCCGTCTATAACCCCCATAGTAGAGAAGAACCATAACGATGGAGATGACGATGATGATATATATGAGGATGCACCCCAGAATCCATCAGACATCACGGACATCCCGGGGGGGCAAGAGACAGGAAGACCCGAGGACAAGCATCCGGGAGCATATCCTTTAGATACTTCTATTGTTTGACTTGACTTGCATGTGTCTCTCCTTAGGGGCCTATCGACGGTCCATTTGATTTCGTATTAGGCATTGCTATTTGTCTTGAGCACGCATTTGTTTCAGTCAGTTAGGAAGACTAGGAAAACGTCAGTTTAGGCTGAATTGAGCATTTAATATATGTGACGGTATCTTATAACTTGTCACCGTGAACGCCGCGTATCGTTCTTTAGTCTGGATGCCACTCAGCAACCCGAGTGACAAGAATCACAATAGTCGCAATCTACCGCTGGAACGCCGAACAACAGGAGGATAGATAAGGTGCAAAGAAGATGTCGTATATTTCTGGTTTACGGATTTTTTTTAAGAAATTATGTACGAACAGACCAACTTTTACAGTTTAAATAGCACCAATATACCCAAATCCCCCGATCCCCCCGGGCAATCCATATACCACTCCCAGCCAACGTAAAAGCAACCCAGCGCAAAAAAAAAAAAGGATAATAATGATACAAACCTGTTTTCCATAATAAGAACCTACCTATACCTACCCATTCACCCCCTCCTCCCCATATACCCATATCCTCCAATATCCACCTAACCATACGCCTCCACCAATCTCGAAATTAGCGCACAAAAAAGACCCTTATATATCAATACGCATATTTTCTGTCTCCAACGTGGCAACAAAAAAAAAAAAAAGAATGAGAATATTAGATCTTGTCAAGCAAATTATAAAGAACGCTGTTTTCAACAGGGCAATTCCCGCTGCTCATGGCGTCAGGTGGAGATATCTCGTTGACCAGATGGCCGCTGTTCTGAGGGTGTAATTGGTGTATGAATGTCTGCGTGAGATGGCAGGGTGTCGTCGAGGCACTACATGAATTCTGGTACTGCTGCTGCTGCTGCTGTTGTTGTTGTTGTTGCAGCAGTTGCTGCTGCTGTGGTGGGTAACAGCAGCTTGATGATGATTGCGGGGAAGCATTCTGTGGTGGAGCCGGGTAGAATTGCTGGTAACCAGCGGCTGCGGCATTGGCGGGAGGGTACGTCGGGGAGGTAACGGTGTATGATTGTGAGGAAGAAGGGGGCGGCGAAGAGAATGTGTAGTAAGGATTTAATTGCGGCGCGGAGACTGGTAGCGCATAGGTGGGAACGGCGGATGTGGGTGTTCCGCTAGGTGACGGGTAGTGCTGCGGGGTGAATGCGGGCAGAGGCGGGGGTGGGCGGTGCGTTGAGAGTTGTAATACGGGTGACGGCGGGGATAGAGGAAGTTGGGATGAACACTACCACAGGTGCGTTTGAGTTAGCCCATAATTCTCCCTTTTTCTCGATCGTAAAAATTGGTCAACTGAGGGTGAATGGTATATTGTCCAAAGTAGGTCAAGAGTGGTAAGAGGGATGGGGAATAGAGTGATTCGGAGTGAGAATGTGATTGAGCCAGTTGGTGAGAAAGGAAATATTCTGAATCAGAAGGGGAAGAAAAAAAGCCTTTTTTCCCCTTCCCTTTCGCTCTTCGCTCTCCTCTCACCTTTGCGGAAGCACACGTCCCAGAGCCCGTCGCCGGTGGACATGAAGTCTCATTGCCGCGTGCTACCCTGTCACCAGCATCTCTCGCGGCCAACATTCCCGTAGAATTCCTTCTCTCATTGAATCTTTCATCCCCTAGCTTTACCGCGGGAAGCGGGTCCCCACCACATGGCCTTCGTCCGAGAACCTTCAAAACTCCATCGACTGCCGATTCCCCATCAACGCTCTCCTCCCCGCCCTCTCTGATGACCCGATCAATCTCACTGTCCCCAACGCCTCTGTTTCGCAGCATCTCTCGTAGCAGCAAGTTCTCGCGAACAACTCTCTTGGCCGCATTCTGTATCTCAACGTTTGCCTCTACTCCCGCTCTCTGGCAGGCCTGAAAACGCGCCTCAAGGGACGCCAGGTACTCCTTCTTGCGAGCCCTACTACGACGCTGGTTCTCGCGAAGGCGAGAGGCGTTGTCTTTTGCGCCGGCCGCAGTCGTATAGGGAGACGAAGATTCCGAGGGCGACGGAGTGTGTATGGTATTGCTCATGGTGGATGCTATCGTGACGCCAGAGCCGAAGGAGGTTGAATGAACTCTTTTTCTTTTTTCTTATTATTTCTGCTGGCCTGGACTGGAGACGGCATACCGGTATGCGTTGCCGTCGAACAGAGAGATCAAGAAGCAGAAGCTACCCTCTCCTAGTCATCCCGGGTGGGTGAGTGGGGGGGGTTTTTCCCTAGGGGAGTTAATTGTGTTAGTCAGCCCCCACACTGAGCATTTTTGCCTCTTCTTCCTCCCCCTTCGATGCGGTAGAGTGGGGAGAAGTCGGCCTCGAGCTTCGGGGATGTCTGTCTCAGTCTTTCCAAGACATGTCTCGTCTCCGGGCTTTTTTTTTTTTTTTCGTCTCTTTCCTTTTCATGTGCTACTCAATCACAACCGCCGGCATCTTCACCACATGGAAAGATTAAGCGGTAGGGATCAAGCAGAATTTTGGGCTTGGAGATCCCTCTTCATCAAATATCACATCACACCCTATTGATTGGGGTTAGTAACTGTTATTAGTATTGTTATATCCACCCACGAGGGAGCCCAAAAATTCCTAGCGTATCGTATAGTACTGCACAAAAGGGTTGTATGAGTACCTTACTTTCCTGAATGTAGGGGGCTATCCTTAAGAGGCTTACCAGAGTTAGGCCAACGCGATCATCGTACTGCGCATTACCACCAAAGTATTCTTGTTACCCTATTGAGGCGCTATTGGACCTCACCTAACAAAGCCCTTTTTTTGCCCGCTTCCTCAACTCCCAATAGATACAGGGACAGAAGCAAGGCTCAGAGTTCTTTCTGTTGCTCCCGATAAGTTGCCGTATCATACCGATACTACTGTACGTGCTGTGGTGCCCGGGTACTAGGTACAGTACTGGTACTCGCACAGTGCTAGTTCAGTACCGCAATGCGAATCAATGAATCGGTACTGGTTCCCCACTCTCCATCCTTTCCCGACGTAGGTATTACGTGACACCAAACCCCCCCGCCAGTGGAAAAATTTATCTGCCTCCGCTTCTTGGGGGGGGGGTAGCGCGGTACTTTCTTAGGGTTCTCAGAGTAAGAAAGAAAGAAAAAAAATGAAAGAAAAAAAGCACAAAAGCCGTGCTACCGGATTGGAACGTGTCGTCTTGAGCTTCACCGCCCGACTAAATTAGGTTGTGGACCCTGCACGCTGGTATCAACTACGAGCCATTACCGGCACTCGAGCAGGAAAGGGGCACCCGAAAACAAGGGTTCACGAGATAATTGGCAGAAAATCCGTTGCCTTCTGAGTGCCCACACAAACCCGCGACCCCCGTTTTCGGATACCTCTTGCCTGCTACCGGTATGAGCAGATACTCGGGGGCGCGTCTCGGTAAATCCCATTCCCGGAATCGTGTGAACTCTAGTTATCCCAATTCTCAAGTGCCGCTGCCATTGTATTACCGGTACTGTAACCCAGCAAGTTGACTGCCGGTGCTGGGCAAGGCCAATGCAATGGGGTGTTTGCGGTTGTGGTGGTGGTTGTGGTGGTGGTTGTGGTTGTGGTGGTGGTGGTGGTGGTGAGGGGAGCGGGGAGGGGGGAGGGGGGGCTGCCGGTAAGTACTTCTGGGCCTTAACACTGGACAAGAGAGGCTCCAGTCTCTCGGCAAGATTACTCTGGAATATCTTGCGCAGGTACTGCACTCTGACGTGAATCAAATGATTTAATACCGGTATCTACCACTACTGTACAGTGTTTGTGATAGCTGTTACTCTCTCTCCCTACGTAGTTAGCCAATGCAGCCAACATTACTCGTACAGTAACGCACAATTTGTTTCCTTTTGTTAAGTGAAGGATACCTATGCAGTGTAAATCTGGCACACCACTCAATCACCGTGAAAATAGGAATACTCCTAGGCTAGACGATGGGCAGGGCGAACCCATCGATTGTGTTTAACTTTCACAGTCACAGCAAAGAATTGGCCAATGCTGTCCCTTGGACCATTAGCATGGGGTGCATAGCTTCCTGCGCTTTATGACTGGGAATGCAGAAAAATACCAAGACCCCCAACCCTTTTCTCCGCACTACACTCACTGGATTTGTCCGCCTGGCCTGCCTTTTGCTAGTACTCATACATGTACTCGAGTACAGTACTGTACTCGAGCACCGGTACCCGAGTGCGATACGAGTAGAGCGATCGCCCATTACGGTATTTGGACGACAAGGTTCAAGCACACGGGAACTCCAATCAATGCCGCTGTTCTGGAATGCCAGACCAGGGCTGGTACTCGTAGAGGATCCCCCCCCCCCTTTCTTCCCCCCGACCAAATCAAATGGAAAGAGAACAGACATTTTCTGTTGCAGTGGCGATGTCTCTGGGTGATTAAGGGATTCTTAAGGCTTTTCCCGAACCATCTCTTGCACTTGTGCTCGAGTAAATTGTGATACAAGGGCATTGACAAGAAGAAAAAAAACAAACAGGATGATAGCCTGAAAGGACAAGTCATGTGGCAGATTGAGGCAACCTGAGAAAAGTAATGAGAAAAACCAAATAACGACGTACCGTGCAAATACCGGTCCGTCGTACCCGCCCACCCCGGAGATGCTAGCACCGGGTCCTACCCACATCATCATATGCCAAGGCTGCAGTGGTATCCCGTCTCGGTAGCTTTGGTGTCCATGGTACGGGAGCTTTAGCCATTCCTGGGCCTCGATCAATTTCAATATCATAGCTCAAGTCAGTAGTTAAGAAATCATATATCATACTGATATATCACCCGTTGGCATCCCATTTGAGCAAGAATGTTCAGTTCTCGACCGGTGGCGCACGGCATGGAAAAGCCTGAGCAGTGCCGAGGGGGGTTCTTCTATTCATTCGTAGTAGGCAACGATTACCCAGAAACAGGGATCTGCAATTATATAAGTTAGCAAAAAAATTAGTGGGTATCCGATCACCCAGACAAACCCACGACTCCTATTTTCGGGTGCTTCCTACGGGTACCTTGTGGGAATTAAGTCATAGGGAAAAAGTTGTATACTTGTAGTACCTGGGTATGGTCTTGGAATACTGTTCTGGACAGCTAGGGATGCCAGAGGCCAAACCGTTCCACCCTCAAAGGAAATAAATAAAAGAAGCTTTGACACCTCTAATCCCTGGCTGCTCGATCACCCACGTCCCTTACCCGAGTAGCCAAGCTCGGCTTGGCTCGGCCGATGAGGGAAAGAAAGAAGGGAAAAAAAACACATCATAAAATCCCCCGCCTACTCACCAATTTCAGAAGTATCCGGACATTGTGCTGCCAACGCTTCCAGATTTGTACTGTACAGTATGTGATTTCAGAGGATTGGCGTGCAGATTTCCGGATTCTTTGGGGATTGGCGTGTACCGAATTTGAATCATATCCAAGCCAAGCAAAAGCAACAGGGGGAGCAAAAAAAAAAAAAGGGGGAAGAATGGCGCAAAGAACGCCCACCTCGCTTGAAACACGCTGTGATTAAATAAACAGCTCCTAACACCCTATTACTCGTACTGTAAACACCCGACAGGCTGCCGGTCTTGCAGGGATGGGGTGATCAGACGGTTACTTTTGGTTGGAGTGGTGCTCGAGTACGGTATTGTTCCCAAATGATTCCTGTGGGGGAGTTGGGGGTAAGAGAAAAGAAAAAAAATGAGTTGGGATGATACATCATGGAACTGAATAAAATCCAAAACAGCGCCAATTATTACAATCGGGTCGCTTACCGGCATCGGGAGATTACTAACGTTAGGAAAAAGCAAACTCTGTGCATCGGTTTTTTTTTCTCGCTTTTTTTTTCTTTTTCTTCCCCAACCTTTCATTCATCTTCGTCATAGTACCAGTAGTAGTAGAGCAACAGAAAGCCTTGGCCGGAGGTTGCAGCTGCTAAACGTTCTGGTTTCTTAGGAACTTTGGAAATCAATCAATTGTAGTAGAGGAAACTCCGAAATCGCTCAGATTTAGCCTACTGGGCTATTTACGAGTTGCGGCCAGCTAACTAACTTGCTAACCACGACTCGAAAAGTTGTTCCTTTTCCTTCCCCCCCATTTTTTTTAACCCTTTGCAGTGTGAAGGGCTTTCTGAGGAGCAAAGCACCAACGGTAGAATGGGGAATTTCGGCCTTGCCGGCTGCGTGAGGCCCTTGGTATGATGATCTTTAAATTTGGACCGCGAGATTAGCCATTTCTAACCTACTACGAATAATTGCCAATATCAGTAGAAGAGATGACACGGGGTCACTTCTATTCTTCCTAACCAACCCTAGAGCATGGCTTCTTCCGTGTCTCCCCTCTTGCTATTCCTCTACAAGTACGGTGAATCGCCATCAGACATCATGCTTTATCACTCGGTACACACAATGACGTCGGCCGATCATGCATAGGCGTCGGTGCTCTTCTGCGGGGAAGGGAGACAGAACTCGTGGCAGAAGTAAGGGGGTGGGGGTGGGGAGGGAAAGTGATCGCCGATGATGGCCGTATACCCATGAGAGAGAGACGGGGGTGTCCAGCGACTTGTAAATTATTGTGTAAGAGTGATCGCGGTCATTCGTGTACCGCGAGTCCGGGGGACTATATCGAAGGGGAAATTTGGAGACTTGTTATTATACGAGATTCAGGGTAATTTAAATGGGATATTGGTCTTTATGATGATAAGTGATGTCTTTATTTCAGTTAGAGCGTTGGATTTGTCGGAAAAGAGGGGGTTGGGGGGAGGTTATCGTCAGCCTGAGACGTGGCAGTCCAAAATGCTTGTAGAGGTATTTCCCTAGATTGATTACTACTGGAGAGTGTATATTGCGTCTGGAGTTGTCCCCAACACCTCTTGATCCCTAAATAACATGGCATTTGGTGCTCACACTCGAACGCGATCATCTCCATCCAACGCTCATGTTCTCTTGGTGTTCTCTTGGTGTTCTCTTTTCTTGTTGAGGTCATTTCTGATTTTCGGTGGTGCTAGGATAGCAAAAGCTAGTAAAAGAACAGCCTGCCTTGATAAACGCTCCAATGATATCGCCGACAATAAGCCAATGAGCCTTGTTCGCTGAAAATGTGCGTGGAGGGCTCAAACGGTGCTTCCACTTCCTTTTCATTGTGCTACAAGCATTCGGGATCAATAGGAGACTCGAAAAACTTTGCGGGAGGCCCTCCGTCAAACCAGAATGAGTCTGTAAAAAATGCGCAAATGGATTTGGAGTAATCTCGGGATCCTAATGCGCCATTTGTGGAATCCTCCGCATGAGTTATGTGATACAGAGGTTGCGGGGATGCCCTTATTTTCGCTTTGCACCATTAAAACAGACGAAGGGTGAGGGGAAAGGGTAGGCGGCAAGGCAAGAACGAAATAGATAAATAAAGAAAGCAAGCAAGAAGGCAAGAAAGGAGCGGAGGATGGAAGGGGAAAGTAACTATGAGCCTGATGCGAATTCCTCCCGCAATCTGCGTACAAACAATTAAGCTTTGAGTTCCCCCATGGCGGCAATTGTCCCTCAGCTAGCCTTGCTCCTTCCCCTTTGATTCTGTCTCTGGTTCTAATTCCCTCCTAAGCCTGTCCCTCGCCTCCATCAACGCCTTCCCCAACAAGTTCATACCCCACTTATCCCTTTTTCCAACATCAGCATTCTTGGGCCCAAACCCGATACCCCAAATCCTGTCCCGAGGGCTCGCCTCGACAATCTCTCTGTCACCCGTTTCCAAAAGCCGGCTTGGATCCTTCTTGAACTTCCAATAACTTCCCTCTTCCACAATCCGGGACCTATTCTTTGCCCATGCCACATCATTGAAGTTTTGGACTCTACGACCTAGCGCGCGCTGGGTCGAGGGATTCGTCGTTTTCATTATTTCTGCGGCGGTATCTGGGTCGTTGAATAGTAGTGCTTTGCTATACATCATGTATCTGTGGGGTATCAAAAGATTACCCTCGGAACACCGATAAGGCTTTATGTGTTGCAGGGATAATAATGCACATACTGCTCTGCTGTACCAAATCTCATTTCTTCCCCATCGAAGGGAGCTGTAAATTCGTCCTCGTACCATTGGGAGAAGATACCGAATGGTACTTCGTGGGGTTTCCAGAAATATACTGGCCCCGTCCCATCATCTACCGGAGCTGGTGCAGCTGCGGCTGAAGACGAAGGTCCAGCTTTTGATGAACTGGCTTTTCTTGGTCTTGGAGTTGGGGGTGTCAAGTTGGTCATCTGCTGTCCCTTAGATCTTCTGGTAATTGGAGGCATCGCGCTGGATTGGGCGGTTGGTACGTAGTTTGGCTTGGTTCTTAACTTCAAGTGTCGTTGAAATGGATTTTATGGCCGAAGATCTAGCTGGTGGAGTCATGGTCGTGACTCAAGCTCCGAGGCTCAGCCTCCTTGTCTACTGTCGCACACGTATCCGGGCATTTAATTTCGGTTCCATGACAAGCCAATTGGATCGCCATATCGGTATCCGATTTACGTAGTCTTCCGTTATTGAATTTTGCTCTTCTACCCCCGCCGTGTGGAGCGGATTCCTGATGCTCATCAAGTGGTCGAAAGAGCACCACACAGTAGCACATGCGTCGTGACCTACCGGTGCGGACTGGTGCGTCTTCCTCGGCAGACCTGGTAGGCTGGCGAGTTATGTGTATCACAAGGTTCGTGCCCAAAACTTGGCAAAGAGATGGGACATATCATAAAACGGGTGGACCCCCATCCCGCCCAGCCAACCCGTCCTGCCACGCTCTCCAAACCCCCATCCAGGCCCGCCAAAGAATCTTGAGTGAGAAAAAAAAAAGGAGCAAAAAGGACGCTCGGCTTCCCTAGTCGGAATACTGTTCCCGATAGCTCGGGAACACCCGGATATTCCGGGTGTGCGCGTCTAGAGCGGTAAGTTGCTTTCCCCGCCCCAATCATTTTTGTCCCGGTGGCTGCAGAGTTTCATACGGCTCGATTATGTAAGTTGGGTACCGGGTAAACCAGGTTGAGGGCCCTTGCCAGCGATTTTCGCCTTCAACCGGGTTGCCATGTGACCTTGTGGTGTATCGATAGCATAATAGTGTTATTATTAAACCAAAAAGGTATTTTTTTTTTCCTTCAATTATCTTTCGCAGGCATGGATACCGGGAGTATCATACAAGTATGCTATCGGGGGAATGATAGGTGGACTATTGAGAATGCATCATGTCCTTCCCAGGGCGTGGGTACGTGTCTGGGAGGTGTTTCCTTTAGCCTAATTAGAAGCTTCGCCTATACATTGCGAGTGGGTACAGTAGCATAATCGGCCCTCGTATCATGCGAAATGTGAGCAGGGAGGGGCCAAAGACCCACTTTCAGCATGAGCACTGGCGGTATCACAATGATAACTTCGACTCACTTCTCCGCAAACTTGTAGAGTGCACTACCGGTACAGGTAGTGCTCCAGTGCCAATTCTGGTACTTTCCGAGTTCTCTTTCGCTTCGGGGCTAGGTTGGGCTGGGGCGAGGCTCACGTTTTCCACGTTTTAGGGGAATTTTAGGTAATCCGGCCACTAAGATCTGTGGTGCGGGGGAATTTCGCTCCTCCAGTACCGGTAGATTTGTTTTCTGATGCTTACTGTGCCGTGATGGGATTTGCGCTATGCTGGCCAGTTGTCGTCTCCCTGGATCGCTCGGTGAGATAGCGTACCGTAGTTCCAAGCGATACCCGGGGCTTTAGTATTACTATTACTGTTATTATTAGGGGAAACCAGGAGAGGGCACCTGCAGAATTTTCCACGGGCACTGTACCTGTATATGGTGCCGTCCTGCGAGGAACGCGTGATGTCTGGATCATCTGACAAGGTCGCCCCACCATGCCCACAACTAAAAATCGTGCTTTCTTCCTTCCTTGCCGGGAGCAGACTCCCGCCGCCCGCCAGGGGGCGGCGGCCCTGGAAAGGCGGGCGGAAAGCAAGCAAGGATGGAAGGTTTACTTGCAAAGCACCTGAATGAGGAAAAACGCCGCGGTGATCGAAGCAATACCGTGGGCAAACACCTACAGAGGCAGGTGCGGGCATTCGGGACCTTGAGTGGGTCCTTGCCAGCACTTGTATGTATGGTCCGTATGTGTGTGTGATATACCCGGGCACGGGAGGAGGATTATTGATTGCGAGTTTTGAATACGAGTCGCGATTTGGCTGTTAAACTGCACTCTTTGAGCGCGTTGATTGCCTCTGCTACGTGTAGACTTGGCGGGACCAGGGTAGGAGGATAGACTTTTTTATCATGGCTAGTTCTGCTAAACCAATTCCGGAGTGTGTAAGGTAGGAAAAGTGATAATCGTGGTCGTTTGGGCAGGGGTTGAACTTATCTCGCCTTTGGCTAGTTCTTTACCGGGTTATTGGACCAACTGGGGCAAGATCGCACCCCGGGAAATTTGCCATTAGGTTAGGGAGGAGACAAGAGTGCTCAGTGCTAGTACTCGTACAACTTGCGGTGATTACAACCTGTTACCGGTGGGGGTAAAAGAGGGAAGAATGGTCTCGGCTCATTACCATAACCGTCAGATAGCTAACTGCGATATTGAGACCTATAAAATGTAACGATAGGGTCCGCATGGGAGAAGTGCTTATAAAGAGAGGATAACGTAGTTCTGCAAATGTCCTCCTGAGGCACCCTGTCATCTTAGAGAGTAATCGAGATGTGTAAAACAAGCATAATAATCATCCGCACTCACTCGAATAGGGAGGCGCAAGTGGTCCCTTGGCATGATCTCGTGGCGCATCATCACAACCGTAGGCACGTTGCCAACCAAGGTATGATAGCGGGTAAACATATTGAGAGATCAATCTATTACCTTCCGGTAATGGTGCATCACCCGCTGGGTGGAGGGTTCCCCGAATACGGCTGGCTTCCTTAATCTTGGTTGCCTCGTGATTAATACGGTAGTGGCATTCAAAGTGGCAGGATTACCCGGTCGCACCTCGGCAACGAGAATCACACTAGTGCTAGAGCTTAAGTTAAGTTAAGCCCTTCGAGACTGCTGGTGCCGGCATCAGGTGCACATAGCACTGTACTATTAACTTGTACCGTACAAGGGTATGGGCGTGGATAGTCAGGTAGCTAGGGATTGCGGGTAGAGACATCAAAGCTTCTTGCTTGCTTGAGAAATTTCCGTACTAGATTCATTATTTCATTTCCTATGGGGGTAGTGATTTCAGGCTTCCGGTATCCCTGGCTGTCTGATCACCGACATCTCATACCCGGGCACTGTAATCACGTACTGTACTGTACCGGTAAATTATCATTGCATCGACCGAACATACTGTTTTCGCCCTGCGCGCTTGGTATTCGTATGCCCGGCGCCGGTATCAAGGAGGTGTGCAGGATGCATACGGGCAAGTGCCTTCCCGTTATCCCTGATCCCCTCAGTCCGACTGGATTTGTTCCTGCTGGTGGCGGTGACGATCTTTGTGGCAAAAAGCTTTTTTTGGCACTTGGCCAGATGCGGCTGTTTCAAACCCCTTCGGGCCCTAAAACGGCGGCCCGATTTATTAGGCTGGGGGTCCAGATCGGTAGGAACTGCAGGAAACCACACGAAGTCTATGATGTGCGGGAAAACTTCTGGAACGGACAGAAACTGCCCCCGGTTGCCCTGGGGGATGGTCTATGCATAGCAAAAGTGGGCTTGGGGGAAATGGTGCTTGCGATTGCATGTTTTTTTTGCAGCAACTTAAGAGATGGTTGGGTGGATAGAAGACACCAAGTATCATGCTATATTCATCATTTATCATTCGGTTCTCCGCAATCTAGTTTGAGGTGACGCATGCGTATTTTCTTCTAGTTGCCATGGCTCTGTCACGGTCAGTCCGGTGGGTTAACTTGATCTTCTCTTTTTTTTCATTGAGTTTTTATCTAGTTTGTTTCCTTCTATACCTCATAATTACTGTGTCCCTTGACCCTTCTCAATGCTTTTGAAAAAATCCGCCGGTTGGTTTCTGAGGTGATTGGTGTGGGCCGAGCCGTAGTTGAGATTGGCCCTGGCCTGACTTGCTTGCCCTGGATGTCATAAAGTATCAGATAACGAGTTCGGCCACTGAGTTGGGAGACATATAAACCAGAGCCTGGCGGTTATTAGTTCCATGATTGAGTGTTAGATTCCGAGTGAGTATGTCAGAATTGCTACCAACAGCCTTCGTGGGAAAAAGGGGAAGAGGACGAAGTTGAAAGCGAGAAAAGCTCACGGGCTCGTCTGGCCAACGACATGCACTGGGTTCTGCGGGGGGTTTGGGGATCGTTTCGTGGCCCCTGATTTACACTGAGCAGCCAGTGTTCCCAACGGGCCAGGTAGGCCTGCCACGGCTATGGGGGATTTAGCCCGGCCGGAGCCTGCAGGCCCCGGGAGACCTGGGCCTGGCCTATATGGCCTAGCAAAGCCAGGCCTAGCCTATGAATACGCGCCTGCAATCTCTTCAGATCTTAGGTTTCCATTCGGCGCATCTTTCGTTCTACTACACTAATCCGAGTTACTCCCGCGAGAACCGTAAGTTATATAGTCCCTGCCCAAATTCTACGCGCCGGTGTTAATAGAATGGAACGAGTATCAGTAATGTCACCAATAGTATTAGGCACTGATCCTATGTGTGGGTAGTGATATGGATTTGCTCGTGGTTGATGAAAATCCCCGAGGCCTAACAGGACTAGGCTAACTATAGGGGGCACATTCGCTGATGGATTTAATAGAATTCCTGCTGAAGAAACTGAATCGGAAGGAAGTATTGTGAGATAGGGCTGCGTTGGAGAGTCTGGAGATAGGTTGCCTGAACTTTGTTGAGCTGGTTGTGGATCGGTAATCGCGTAGTTGTCATACTTCAACTAACAGCTGAGGATATAGATAAAATAATAAACTACAATGAAAGTTGTAAGGAATCGAGCCACTCTTAAAACAATCAACTCTAAAAATCCCACTTACAGGCCTGTAGGCTTCTGCCAGGTCTGATAGGCTTCTGCAGGCCGGCTGAGTTCGGCCTATATCCGCCTAGGCTCATCTTCAGAGCGGCCTGCCTTTGGCCCAGCCTACGACCTATCAGTGGCCTAGCCCGTTGGGAACACCGTGAGCAGCAGATGAACCTGAATGAGATGGCTGGCTAGAGTGTGGTGCCTGTGGGACTTGTAAATCTTGATGTAAGGGTCGGGGACAAGATATCTGGGGTAAGTACCTACCTGCCACTCCTATCATGAGTCTGGGCTTTGGAGCGCTGTGCGCTGTTGGATCCCACCGCAAGAGCTGTGATATACTTGTCACGACGGCTTGTGGCTGACTTGGACATGGCCTGTGGTAGGTGTTAGGTTGCTGTAAGCGGTAAGTGGATTTGGATCACGATGCTAACCCCACGCTAGGGTGATAGACAAAGAAAATGACAGTGGTATTGGCAATCTCGGGAAAATATGTCCGCCCAATCTTGTCGGGCAGTTCACATGCTTTCACGTGATAGTTATTGGGTTATCTAGCTGGTTTCACTTTTCTTCTTCTAACGCTATCATTCCTTTCGCTTCTTTCGGGGCAAGTTTAGGGAAACAAGGAAGCCCGAGGGGGAAATATGAGAAGCTAGGGATTTGAGAAACAGGCCCCTTGAGCTTTGGGAGTGCCCCTGGGCCCACGTCCCCGGAGAATCCGGCCCGAGGGGCTTTGGACGGGGATTGTGCAAGACTTTTTGAGAAATACTATTGAGCAACCGAATGATGTCCCATGATCCAGGGGGGGGGGAGAGCAGTTGGTGCTGGTTGCTGGGGTAGCGGTATTTGAATTGGGTTTTTGTTAACGATCTTCAACTACGCTGGAGAGTGCTTACGCACATGTATTAGAGTTCGTTTGCTGGGTTGGAAGTAACTTTAGTCCAATTGGTATAGACACGATATGTCGACGGTTTTCAATACAATGGAAATATTATTCTATTATAACAACTTCAAACACCCCAATCCGTGGATACAACGCTAACAAGTGGAAGTAGCTAAGCAATCCCCTTCTATGAGAAGATGGTGACCTTCAACCCCCCGACCTTAATCTGCCCCCCAAACCTCCTCAAATTCACCCCACCATCCTTCCCCCTCCCGACAGTCGGAATACTGCAATCCTTATATAGTGCAAGGCTAACCACCATCTTGCCCGCGTGTGCGCATTCAATCCAACTCTTGTAGTTCCCGCAAAGGCCGATCTTGGCGCCCTCGTATGTGGCGATAGTAGTGCATTTTGTGCCGAACATGTTGGTTTGTTCGCATCTACGGCCTGGGGGGCTAGCGAGGAGGAGCTTCGCTGCTGCTATGACTGAGACGGAAGAGGGGGATGAGAGTGAGGTTTCGCAGAGGGGGGTATATGGTGGTGCTGAGACTTGGACATCTGCGGCTTGCGCGGTGGAGGCGTTGTACTCATGGAGGATAGATGTGAGAAGGAACAGTTGGAGAATGGAAGAGAAAAGCATTTTTTAGGGTTGTGCGGGGTGTGCCTATACAAGCTCGGAACCTATCTTAGACGTTATAAGGGTAAGTGAAGTGATTTCTTGACCTGTGCTCCCTATTTATTCTATAAATTCCACATTGTGGATTTGAATTGAGGGTGTTTTTCTAAATAGTAACTCATGTGTTGGTGAATCTTCCATACAATATCTCACTCGAAATATTTATATCTTGAACCCAAAACCCTCTTTCACCACCGCTCACCCATCACCCGTCATCGTCCGTTGAGCACCCACAAAAAAAAGGGATCTTTTTATTAAAAGAAAATGTCCGCCTCGATAATCCAAAAAATCGATCTCCTCCTGGCCCTAACCCCTACAACCCAAAACCTAAACTTCTTCTCAAACCTCCACTCGCTAATCCACTCCATAGATGGGGCCACCTATCGGGTAACAAGCCGGGAACTGCAAACCCGGCTCCAAAACTCCAGGGCAAACATCTCTGTCCGGTCCGACGGCCTCAAGGCAACCCGGAAATTCCGCGACTTGCTAATCGACCTGACGGGTTCGGGTGTGCACGGCGCTTTGCATAGTACGCTGGGGCACGAGGCGGTTAAGGACCTCAAAGATGAGGGACTGTTGAGGAAGTATAGAGACGCGAGACTCGCGGGGCTGCAGAAGTTGGGGATGTTGGTGCTCAAGAGAAAGAGCGTGAACGAGGAGATAAAGAAATTTAAAACTACGGCAGGAGGGAAAGAGACGATGCTTGTGCTTACCTTTGTGGCTAAGGTGCTCGATAGTATGATTGCCGAGGAGGAGGTTGGGCTTAAACTATTTGATCTGGAGGTTAGGAATAGGGAGCCGTTTGCCGGGGCAGGGGCATAGTATGGATGGGATGTTTGACTCTTCTTGGGATTTGGTTTTTGCGATGGGTAGGTATTTTCTGGTTTGTTCGTGTGGTTGTGTGATTTTTTTAGCGGTGTATATGTCCTTGCTTGTCATTTGTAGGTCTTCATGGTGTAGAGAATAATGAGATCTGGAATCTCACATAAAGACCTGTGTTAACGCAGTATGATACCTTCTAGAGTAAGGGTACCGTAGTTGGTAGTGAGTTACCTGGCCAAAAGGTTTCGTTTGATGGCATTTTTTTTTTCCGCCGAGCGGCGACTACTTTGACCTTCGCCTCGAGAAAAACGTCATTAAGAATCTCCTAGAATTTCATGGGACGTTGGTAAGTTTGTAGATGGCACACAAAACGTCCCGTATCATTTCATGTGCTACCCAATACCTCACGGGAAGCCCCTTTCAGTTTCCATGATACAGTTGCAGATGGTGAATTCAAATTTGATTATTGAAAGCTAGTACTTCTGGGGGACTGAATGTCTGGCCTGTTCTGTTTTGAACCCTTTTAAGTATTTCGAGAAGGGTAGTGTTGGGAGTTTTGCCTTTGGAAGTTCACATTTTTCAAGATATTATTAATGTAAAAACCAGTGGCGGGCGAAATCTTGTGGATGTGTACTGGAATTATGCACGGGTAGGGTTTCGTTTCTTTTATAGAATTTGGGTCGTAAAAGGGAATGAAAGAAGAATAGTCATCTCTCGAAGGGATCTGTTTTGGTTCTGCAGAGCTGCGGAGGTGGATATTTAGGATGAATGGGAGGTGAAGTAGGTGATTTTGGGCTGATTTACCCACCCTAATTGTCATAATCGGAGGGGTATGCGGTTTATCTATTAGATGGGGTATCATAGGAAATTATCTAATATAATACCCTCTGGTGGGCTTTTAAAGTGGGGTTTCTATTCAGTTAGGCTCAAACATAGCCTATTTCAGTGAGTGGTTTTTTATGGTTGGGTATCCTACTTTCTGGGTGTGGGCTCAGGAAGTGTCACTCGGCTTGGTGTTCCTGGGGCACTAGTATCGTATTATGTACATTATTTGTCGGGAGTGTGGGCGCATGTGCTTCCTATCCGGCTCGTGTATGAGACCAACCTACAAGCCACTGGAGGAAAGACGGCCTTAAGAATTTGCAATACCAAGACTCGTAGGGTACTGGTGATGCTCGTATGATAGGTGGAAATAACGTGTGGGTAACTTTCAGACTATGATGCCGGATTCATGCGGTTGCTTCTGAGACAAGTATCATATTTCGGAGGATCCGGCTCTGGGTGATCCCAAAGCCCTGGAGATCTGCCTTCGCTCAACCCTCCGCGCCGAGCGGAATATGATAATATTATGATATACAGCTGCAGTGCAGTGCCCTCGGTTGGGGTACTGGATGGAAGCTGAATCAAAACAGAAGCATTGGGTTTCAAGCTACAATTGTTCCTCGGATTCCCCTAAAGTGGGATTTAGGAGTATTTGGCAGACCATGATTGTGTTTTGAGCTCACCATTTAGTACTCTGAGATAATATCTTGGCAAGCTTAACTCAGATTATTAAGTGCGAGGTCATGATTAACAGCCGTAATCACCTAAGTTCAATTTGCCGGGACGTGATCTTGGATCTCGACATTGCGATTTCAACTCGCAATCATGATATTCCAAACACCACCTAAAAGTGTCTGCAATATACAATATAATTTTTCCAAATTTTTCTCCTATGAGTAGAATATCGACGAAATGGTAGGCATACTTGGAGTCGTTAAAGTACTTTATATCTATCTTGGGCATGTAAAAACACGTCTATTGATGGGTACCCGAGGCCCCCAAGGAAAGCATTGACACCAGTCTGCGGTGAGCGAGGGTGATCCGCAAAACTCACTTCTTTCCGTGCTTGGGGCGAAATGTTTTTTCACTTCTCACTTATCACATAATGTTTTCACCAAGCGATCACTGGTCGAACCATGTTTGGCCTGAAAACCCCAATATTTGTTGTGATTCGACCTCTGGTCTATCTCTTGGCCCAATGGAGGGTGCTGGTGCAGGTACTGGGCGATTGGATGGGTGGGTTCTATTTTCGTCGTGAAAACTCCCCCAACGGACATTGCGCCGTGCCTGTACTGTAGAGCATGACTCTGAGTCTTGGAACAGAAGATCTACCCTTTACGATCCTTTCCACTCAGAGACGTCCATAAATATCGAAGTTTTCTGGCTGCACGCCCTACGTCTATCCCTTTCCGAATCCGGTGCTGTACAGATTCTCACGCAATAAAACAATCCTTGCACACATCCGCTTCTGTTAAGCGGGCCGACCATCATGACGTTTACTGACGGCGCCCAGGGCTTTATCTTCGGGTTTCTCGATAGGTTAACCACTTGGGAAGCGCTGCTATTTGACGTAGGGATTGGGTTGGGAGGGGGGATATCATGCTTGGTGAGCATGAAATGTTAAAAAGGGGATTGATGTCGCGCAAGGGTTTTGGAAGAACAGTTGATCTGTCTCGCCGTTATTGTTCGTGATATCCTTCGTTTTCGGGGAGAGAATACGCTTTAGTTTATCCGCCAGTCCGCTTGCGGTTGCGCCGACATTGATTTATTATCAATCCTTTGTTCGTTTAGGAATTTTCGGTAGCGGATTTGTTGTACTCAGGATGACTGCGCGAACGATAAAGCTCGTCACACTTATCTTTCGGTTACTGCAACTACTGATGGCGTCGATTATCGTCGGTGTCGCCAGTTATCACACTTGGGAATTCGCGACGAGTAGACTCTCACTTACCGACGATTCGGGCAGACAGCTTCCCGCGGCTCTTCACGCAATTCTTGTTATTGTGAGTTCTTTCCTCTCCCCGTGACCGCATGAGCGAGGTATAACGGGAGTGAAAAGCCCTGCGCAGCAGTTCTTTACACCCTCCTTTCGTTACTCACGACATGGTTCGGCCACAAGAAATTTTTCCTCGCCACGCTGGTCATGGATTTCCTTCTCCTCGGGAGCTTCATCGCCATCTCTGTCCTTATGCGGGGTTCTGCGGGCATGAGTTGCGATCCGGTTGCATACTCCCGCAGTATCACTTCCTCGTCGAATGATTTTCCCTCGAATATCTATGGATCGGGTAGTGGGAGCGGAAACCATCCCGAGATACTCTGCCAGCTGGATAAGTCCGTCTTCGCCTTTTCTGTGACCTTAAGGTATCGCATCCGTTCCTCCTACTTCCATCGGTAACAATACTAACAACTTCCCCAGCGTCTTCTTCCTCATAACCCTCTCACTCTCCTACCTCGCCTTGATGAACCACCGCGAGAACCGCGCATTTGGGCCTGGCCCAGCGAACAGCTATTCGGCCCGCAACAATCCGGCTCCTCGTTCTTGGAGGCGTAACCCTTTTAGTGGGGCCAACGAGGAAACCGCACACACGCATAATACCGCGGTGAACGAAATCACCGCTGGGACGGTATCCTACGACGGTGGATACAAACACCAACCTTCTGGACCAGAAAGTGGGTATAGGAATTCGAGGCATGCGCCAGCATTGAATCCGCCGGAGGAACCGGGGTCGGGGGTCTCCGCGGATTATGGGAGAATTGCACCGCATCAGATGTTTTAAGTTGGGTAACTTATCAAGGATTATAATGTGTAAATGATTTGATTTCCATAATCGTGTTAATGGCCTTGTGCGGTGAATACAGGTGTTTTGGCCTATAATAATCTATTTTGTGCTTACCGTATTTGTCGTCCACACTTGGATCATTGATGAGCACTCGAGAGTGTCGCATTAAGTGAGACCTGGCCCAATAGCCGTATGATAAAAGAGGACCTTTCGGCTAGTGCAAATCTTAAAACCAGTTAGGGCGAGCCTCTGCGATAGAGGTAATCACCATCTGCCCGAGCACGGTTAGTCATACGGATAGATATGTTGGACCTACCTTTGCTATATTCATCACCATTTCTCACCACCTGCGCTTCAACCTTCCCGCCCCTCCTCCTTCACAGGTCATTTTTCTTGGAAACGGTGTGATTTTTTCTTCTTCTTCCAGATGTGACTAGCACCAATCCCCCATCACAAGATATTCCAATAGGGGGATTTTCGGATGTCCCCGATCTGCCGGATTCCTCTACTGTAGAATCCTCCTCGAAGGTGTCCGATCCAAGTGCGTACGGTACGGTAGGACCCCTTTCACATGAGGGGGTACAGTACTAGTACAGTACGAGTATATCCGAGTATCCTGCGCGACACGTGATACCGGAACATTTGAGTCTGAATCCGTTATCGGGTGCTCGGACGCGAACAAATGATTTCCCGTAGAAATTTTTTTGACCCTGTGTTCGGGTGCGGTACCGGTACCGGTACTTCATGCTGGGGTACGGTACGGTACTCGCGCAAGTATACCTTACCGGGACTTACGATGCTCGCCGTCTTGAACGGAAAGTCGTGACTAGCGGTGGAAGGGTTAAGTTAAATTTAGTTACGGCTCCGTACGATATTTTTTTTTTTTAAATCTGTGTGAGGAGGAGGAGGAGTCGGTGGCCCAACGGACTGGCGAACAAAAAAAAAACTCCCGAAGCCTATATCAAGCGGATGGGATGAGGGGTCGTATTTTTTGGTGGTTACTGTACGTGGAAATGTCCAAGTGCTGGGTCTGTGATATTATACTTGCATGATGGTTTTAATTTCCGACTTGCTTATTATACTATGCTGAAATCGTCTACCTCTACTGGTAGTACTATAACGTGTGGTACCGTACCTGCCTGTCCTTCCTAGGTCTTGTCTGTCCGGCTAGAGACTCAAAGCATTCCGCATCTGAAATTGGTAATCGGGTGGCTGAACTTCCTGAAATGGAAGCTATAGCTACCCGGGGGAGAGGGGGGACAGAATTCTGATCGGGTAATTTACGATCTTAGCTACCGGTGGTCCAGTGCAGGGCTTGTTGAGGCACAGGTTTATGCCGAACTGTATTGCTCCTCGCGGAGCTGCGACAACAGTCGAGTGAGGCAATGTGATGATGTTGGCGTTGGCGTTAGCAGTAGTTTGGTTCACGGGCACTTCTGGGGGTATTGGAGCGTCAGATAAATTAACCCATCCTAATCGGTCATGAAACCCTCATCAAGTGTTTCGTTAGACTATCATTAACTGCAACCCGAAAGACAGTAAACCATGGTGCGCCACCCAGACCCCAATTACAACTCCGTATCCCAGGATAGAAGCCAGTCCATCAACCCTCAGCACAGCATCGAAAAAAACATCAACAGATTTATCCCTAACAGTGCTTCCTTTCCCCATCCCAATGTGCCCCTGGACCCTCGTGAAATGGTCTTTGCCGTAGCGTTCGCAGCGATCACGGATCCATCGGTATCCCGCTTTATCAATCCGGCAAAGAGCATCGCGTCAATGAATGGGAACCCCCCGATATCCGTCCCGCACATCCCTTTCAAGTCGCCCAAATTCTCTTCTGTCGGAGCGTTCAACACCACCGCCTGCGTCATGCAGTTGTCATCGCAAAATTCACCGACGGCTACGCTATCGGCAGTTTCGGAGGTGGCCACTTCCCAGGCCAGCTCGTAGTCCGATTGCGAAATGCCGCAGATCCTTTCCGTCCCCCTGCGGTTCTGTTAGTGGTGGGAGGGATCGGTTTCGTGGAGAGGGGTCACAAACACCTCCCGGAGGCACTGTTTCCAGTATAACTGGATGCTCGCCTGCCCACTGATCACATCTTTCAGCCATGATTGACTCAATCCCAACGCTCTCAGGTCCGCACCTGTGCATGCCTCTCGTGCCTCCCGCTGGTAGGCGAGCATGGATGTCGCGCATTCCGGCGTGCAAGCGTCCTCCAGTGTCGACCTCTTTGCTTCCACATTTGGCGACATTAATATCGTGACGTTGCAGTCTATTGGTTTTGTGTATGCCGTCGCGCAAGCCGCCGGTAGCTGCGCTGCAGTCCCCGGCGCCAGGATCCCGTTGAAGAACCAGTCTTCTCTAGTCACATTAAATCCTTGACCGAGCAGCGCATTCGAAGGATTCCAGAAAGGGATTGTGAGAATGACCGAGGCCGAAAAGGAGTGGTATCTCCTCATGTTATCTCGTAGAAAAGGGAATAGAAAGAGCTTGGTCAAGGAGGTGAAGGATCGTATGGCGGGTTAAACGGTTGTCAGACTGACGTTGAGGACGGGCTCTCATGCGCCGGGTCGATAACCAAGACACCTCGGGGAAGCAGAGCTAAAGAAAAGAAGAAGGAAAGGGAAGCAAGAGGTGGGGAAAGTGAGGAGAAATATGCAAACAAACATATAGTCGTTGGCCCAGGGTGGCCGTCCCCATCGCACGGTACAAGCGAGGTATCGCCATGCTAGAGATTCGAGAATTCTAGTTTCATGGGTGAAACGTGCATATTTATTTGTGGGCACGAAAATGTTCTTTACTGTTCAGCAGTGTACTGTACGAGCACACGAGCTTGTGGTACAAGTATCTGGAGTTTCGAAAATCTCCCAACCCAATCCTTGGCTTGGCGATGGGCGCAATGCTAAAGGGGAATTCCGATGTTGGCCTCTTATGCAGGGGCGAAACGTCTTTGCGGTGGGGGGAGGATACGGGACCTGGTTTCCCAGGGCACAATCCGTCCTAAATAGACTGCTCAGGTAACGCCAAATCGTCTCATCTTGCCACTTCCCAGCACATCTGGCGGGCGCAGGCTGACAGAGGTTTTTGGTATGACGGCGCAAGAGCCGCTGTCAGTTGAAAGCGGCTAGGTCGGGGGCCTCTCTCTCTCCATGCGAGTCCAAACTGAAGCACGTACTGCGCAGCGTGTTCAGAAAGTTCACATGCTGCCTTGATTTTTGCGAGCGGATCGTGCTATATATATTATTGGATGGCGTCGGAACGGGGTGTGTCGTGATGGTTGTGACTTTTGCATGGTTCGGCCCCATCCCATCGCACGGTGGATTGTCGGAAACTCTCTTGATATTATAGAATCGTATCGGAAGGTACAGGTATGATGTGCCGTTTCGGTAAGAATGTAGGGAGGTCGGATACCGGTACGTAGGTTAGCCTGTGGCATACGCGGGGTCTTGCCAAGGTCCATTCCATGTTACAAGTACAAGTACCTGTAAGAGTACCATCAGCATACCGGTATCGGTATCCACTCGGATGGAACTTGGTCAGGAGCTGTCCATTTTTGAGGACTTGCGTGTGCCGATATCCGCATTTAGACTTATAGATGGCATGCTAAGCCATGTACAAGCTGTTTCGGTCAAGGGTGGATAAGATGAGACAGTGGTACTCGAGTAGTAAGGGTAGTGTACGGTACCCGTAGACGATTTCGTTTTCCTCATTCTTCGATGTGCGGCCATGTGAGGGCGCAGTATGATAGGGTACGGTACAAGTACTGTACTTGGTTACTAGTACTAGTACGAGCACCTCGTGAATCGATATACAGGTATCTACCGGTAAGCCAGGCACCTGTAATACCGGGAGAAGCGGACGCTACTTGTACTGTACTCTAGGAATCGACACTTGGGCTAGTTCACCGCCGCTTATTAAGTAGATACTGCACAGTAATCGATTTCTCGTCTGGGTTATATTGGTTGTGTGGGACAGAGATCGGCGGATGTGTTACCTCATTTGGCGTAGCCCCACTCTGATATTGATGATTCATGGGGTTAGCTTGGTCCGTGTTAATTTGGCGCTTCTCATGGGAGGATAACAAATCTTGAATGGCCCCTGTATCACGGCAGGAGGTTCGTTTAGATCTTTCCGATTTCCCTGGGCAACCATCAGGTACGGTGTGATTGGGTAGACACTTTTCTAGAAGCTTTTGAGCTTAGGGGTTGTGGTTGTTGAACGAGGGGAGTTCGAGGTTGGCCGTATTTGGGGCTGATTTCCAGTGCTCGGCAACTATGCTGGAGTCGCTGGATTGAGGTCGCTCTGGTTTTGGTGGTGATCCACCCAAAAAAGCGACTTCAATCCGGCGGTATGAGCACAGTATGGGAGAACAGAACATTGCTGAGGCGGCTGTACAAGTGTCCGCGGCCCGATACGAAGTATCAGAACGCAAGGATCAAATATTTGTATGGCAGATTACCCACGCACATCTGGCCGCACACATACTCCAGAACTCGTGCAGCAGCTTAGAATTCGCACCCAAGATGTTCTGGTTCGGTTTTAGGTACAGTACCATAACGTGAACAAGCGCTTTCCGGGGGCACTAGTACGACCGTTGCGTGTGCGAAGCTTCATATTATATAGTGGGAGTTAAAACCTCCGGGGGCAAAGCATGGACGGAGGAAACAAATCCAAGGGACTTGAACCGATGCCATCTGGGGGGAGGGGCCACTGCGGTGGAAAAGGTGAAATCCATGTTTCGAATGAAACTTCTAAGCCTATTCCGATCCTAGACTGGTGGAACCGGCTTTCGAATTGTATCCCCTACTGTAGGGTGCTTGTACTACCGTATTGGTTAGGTCTTGTATTTTTTTTTTCGGCGAGAAGGCTCCGGGGTACTGTTGGAGTGATGGCGGTGTGTTCGTGTGGTGGCACCCCTAGCATGCCAGCCAGGGTGTTTTACCCACGAGGGAGGCCATCCCAGCGCACTGCCGAGGCTCCGGGTTCAGTGTGGCGGGCAGGGTGGTGAGATTTTTGTGTGCTTACCGATAGTGTCGAACTCCATTCTGACCTTCGTGCGAATGCTCTGGCATTTTATGACGGATACTTGCACAGTAATTTGGCCCTGTGGCAAGTATCTGCGAATGGGGTTGCGACCATGACTGTTTATCGGCAAACTACATTCGCCAACACTTCTCGATTAGAGAGACATTGTTCGGGGATTTAATGATATTGGCCGGATAGGTGGGGGTATCTTGCTGGAATGATTTTTTCGGTGACAGTATTGGCACCGCACATGACCACAGGAGGTGGAAAGCTACGAAATGAAGTGGGAGTTTATTGGGCTACCGTATGCTTCTGCCTCTACTAGTATCATATGCTTGGAAGAGGTTAAGCTGATCCAACATCCTTTTATTAACCCATATCATACAGCGCTTCCTGTGCGGGGCAATAGCCCCTATTGACATTTCTGTACTGTTGCGGTACAGTGCCCGGTCCTGCGGTTACTTGTAGCACGTCTTGGTCGAGACGAGTAAGGCTCAAGCACATCTTACCCCTCTACCACCACCGGGGTCCAGGAATAAATCCGATACATCTATCTCTCTGGTAGCACTTCGCAATCTAACTTACGAGATCTCGGAGCGACACTCCCGGTACCGGTGTCGTTAAGATGTAACATCAGCCAACCAACCAACAGCAGGCCGGACCTGGCAAATAATTCCCCTTCAGGTATTAGTCTAGTGGTCCATCGCTCAACCACTTCGACCTCTGGGGACAAGGAGCGGTCTAAGGTTAGTGGATAGCGTGAAATGTGGCAATCTCCGATATTCGAAAGATCCTTTACTGATATTCCGGAGTATGGACGCTTTGTCACCGCATCGAGGCCATCACTCGACCCCACCTCGGCCTAATAACCCTTACGCGTCGCAGTTGCTGATGACCCTTAACTTTGGGGAGAATGCCGAAGCGTAGAAGGGGAGGGAGTGGTAGGGGAAGAGGATGAGGGAGCCCAGGTGAATTGGGATGGCATTGGGGGGGGTATTTAGGGTCGAGATCCGTCCCTTGCCAAGGTGCGGACATCGAGAACATCAGTCAAGGTCGCCAATCATGAGAGTCCTTTCTTTGCTATCGCTGCTTGCGCTGGAAATCTCCGCTGCCTGTATCAATGCCGAAGCTGTTACTAAACCACCCGCGGGCGCTGTGGTGGTAGACTTGAACAGCAAGGATGCTGGCGTCTACAAAACTGTAAGCAAAAAAAACCTCCCTTCTATCTTCTTCCTCTTTGCTTGGCTTGGATTCGGTTCCGCTAACAATTGGGCACAGATCCAAGACGCTGTCGCATCCCTCCCGAATGATAGCTCCAGTCGGACCATCTTTGTCTACCCAGGAAAATATCGCGGCCAAGTGATCCTGAGGAGGCCCGGCGCGACCACCTTCCAAGGCTACACTGAAGACACAACCAACCAGGGGGCGAATACGGTTACTTTGTCGAATTCTCTGGTTGCTTCGGTAGCGGGTTCCAATGCCAAGAGCGCCACCCTGCAAATCTACGCGAGCGATACGAAAGTGTACAACATGAATTTCGAGAACAACTACGGGAACGGGGGGGGACCAGGCTCTCAGGCGCAAGCATTGGCTTTATCCCAATCCGGCGAGAGAAATGGATACTATGCCGTCGGTTTCTATAGCTACCAGGTGTGCACAATTCGTCTCCCTTCCTCCCTGACCCCGAACTAATTGTGCCCCCCCCCCGTAGGACACGGTCTTCACCGCGGACGGAACCTCGTACTTCGGCAACAACTACATCCAGGGAGCGGTGGACTACATCTTCGGCAGGAAGGGTACCGCTTACTTCTACAATTCCATCCTCGCCAACAGCAATCGCGGGTTCATTACCGCCCAGGGTCGTGAAAGCGATAGTTACTCCGCAGCATTCGTGTTCGACAAGGCCAAGTTGATCACGGTGGTGAACGGGACGGATAACAAAATGTACCTCGGTAGGCCGTGGGGGAACCACTCCACGGTGCTCTTCAAGAATTCCGATTTCGGAAACGTCCTGGATGCCCGCGGATGGACCGCCTGGAGCACCACGGACCCCAGGACCGACGCCGTCTACTACGCCGAGTACAACAATATGGGCGCCAGCGCTTGGGGCTCTTCCCGCGCGAGCTTCGCAAAGCAGATTGGAAAGGACGAGGCGGAGGGGCGGTGGAGCGTTAAAGGGACGTTGGGCAGTGACTCGTGGATTGATAGCAGATTCCGTTAATGTCGTGCGGTGTGATCCGGATCCTTCTAGACTTGGGGGCGGTAGAGTAGAACGGGGGACGGGGCGAATTTGTCTATAATACCATCAATATTTAATTGAATCTCAGGAGTGTGATAGCAGTAACCCGGGTGCTTACTCTCTCATCTCATCTCCATATATCTCCTCAACCTCCACCTTTTCGTCCGGCTGCGCTATCGATAGTAGTAGTAATCCATTCCACGGCGTACAAGCCGAGCTCCCGCTGCTGGGATGCCGGCAGCAAGAGAGCGAGAAAGAGTGGAGACGTGACAATACTTACCACATTACCACTAACTTGCCCACCAACTGCAGCCCTAAGAAAGCGGTCCCGGGGAACATGACCCCTTGGACCCGAGGGTATGGCTACGGAACGAAAAAAACCGAATAGATCCGCCTCCCCGAATAAAGAGAAAAAAAAGCGAGAGCGCGGGGGAGGGGAAGTATTTTTTCTTCTTCCGATTCACCCAGGAAAGTGATACTCATGAAACTATTTGTTCCCGCTTCCAGGAAGGATTATCTGTAGTTTCCTTAATTTTTTTCTTCTTTTTCTTGCTTACCATTTCCCGAGAAGTCCTTGACCATGAGGATGTCCGAAGAAAGTTGCTACTTTACTATCCTAATGATACCTTGTTGTTGAGTGATTTACTGTGATGGCTTGCCCGCTTTTCTTTTTTTGTCTTAGGACTTTTGGGGGCTAGTTTTCACTGGGTGGGGGGTTTTTTTTTACGGGGTTGCGATATCGTCCGATCAGCGGAGGCCAGACGCAAATGGGTAAAAAAAAAAAAAGGAAGTGGAAAGAAAGAAAGTGTAAGGAAAGCATGGAAAAAGTCAGGTATCCGTAACTAAAGTTGGGGGAGGGGAGATTTTATGTCTGAAACCTAGAAGCTACAGTACAAGAAAAAACAAAGAAACCGACTGATAAACCGAGGGGACCATCCTCATCGGTTTTAATTCTCCATCTCCCAATTCTCGGCCTCGGGAGTGTGATTTTCCTGTGCGAGCCCAAACCCGCTTCTGACCATGACTCCGCGCGGAATAGTGAGGATAACGTCCCCGCCTCCGAGGCCACGCATCACGAGGGATAGCCCTGCTCTACGAGCCCTTCCGTACCCAAACCTTCTGGGCGGGACCAGGCTCTCGAGATCCCTGTCGTTGCCGGCGAGGGGGGCTGAGTGCTGGCGCCGCATGTCCTCAACGAAGCGGATCCGGGAGTCGCGTTCCCAGATGGTTTCTGGACCGTCGATGGGGAGGCGGTTGACAGGGGTGTTTGCTGGGTGCTCTAGACTTCTCCAATAGCGGTAGATAATGTTAAGGAGAATAGACAATATAACAACATCGCAGATTATGAAGCATATAGTAGAGCCCACTAACACCCGGTCAAGGGGGGGATTCACGCAGGTAGGGCCGCTGACCATGGTGCCGACTTGTGTGGCAGCTACGGTGGTCAGGGTGGCAGCTGCGGTGGTCAGGGTGGCAGCTACGGTGGTCAGGGTGGCAGTCTTTGTGGTGCTGTTGCCGGTGAGGTTGCCAGTTACGGTTATAATTTTGAGAGTAAAGTTGCCGGTGAGAGCGGAAATTGGGGCGGTGCCATGGGGAATCGCCGAAACGTGGATGAAGCCCACAAGGGCGAGGATAACAATGGTGGTAAAAACTGTGGGGATGCGGTTGAAGGACATTTTGTTTGTTGAAGTTGTGGGATGTATGCTTGACTTCTAGCTGTTAGCATCATGATATTGTAATATCCCTCGCCCATTTAAGCACAGCCAAAGAAGTCACCAATGTTAGGAAACTCACTGAAAGATGAGAAGTAGCCTAAGGGAGCGAGCAATTCTAGAACTATCAATTCTGAACTAGTAACACCTGTACAAACCGAACGAGTGATAGTAGGAGTGAAATTAGCGGTAATTTTTAAAATATGAGTTTATGGGGGGAGGAACTGCAAGGGAAGAAATGAAAATGATTAGGAAGAGTGCTCCTCACGTTTCAAGGTTACTGCTGCTGAAAAACAGTAAATTGAGCGGATACTCGGACGGTAGATGAAAGCTGTAGAGTGTTGAGCGATCTATGGTGGCAGGATGGGTGGAGGGAAGAAGGAAGAAGGAAGACCCCCCCGGAGGAGAGCTTAAATACTGAACGAAGGCAGGGCGACTGGATCGTGGGACAGAAAAAAAAAACACGATACTCTCAGGCCATAAGCCTAATGTACGTTTTTCCAGTTCGTGGTTCGTGGTTTACCACGAGGTATTTGACCCGACACTCCAGCTAGTATCGCGCATCGTGTGAACGACCCCAACCATGGGCATGTCATGGCCAGAAAGAGGAAATCGTGTGGGGACTATAGAAACTTGACCCGTTTAACTCTTCGATGAGGTACGATCCTGGCATCAAAAGTCATGAGTAGGTTGGCATTTTGCACCAAAAATACATGGCCTTAGGGGCTTGTAACTCGCTGAGAAACAAGATAGAACTAATCGAAGTAGCATTATGTGCTTTATACTTGCTTGGCTTATTTTGGTAGAAATTGTGTGATTCTCGTCACCCCTTTGGGTCAGTGTTGATGGCTAAAAATTTGTTTCTATGCGGTGTTGCAATGTACCCTTTCCACAGAAAACGGCTATGGTTTGAAGTATCTTTTGTCTATCCCAAATGCTTCTGATATTACTCTCTCAAAGGGTATCGACAGCGTTAGGTTCTTATCAACAGAGCATTTGAGGTGGGATTTCCCAATGTAAAGTTGCCCATTTTTGGTGTAAAATGCCAACCTACTCATGGCTTTTGATGCCAGGCTTGCACTTGCGCGAGAACTAAGTCATCGTGCAACAGGCCTCGGATTTTGGTCTATTTTTGGTTTGATATGCACCATATCTTAAATTGCACGCAAGGTAGGAGTGTCTTTTATTCAGCCTGTAGGTATGAATGACTATTCTGGTCCCTCTTTTGACGCAGCATAACTGGACCCAGTGGAGGAGCTCTAGTCTGATATCAGGGTTGGCAGCAGTAATAATGAACTTTGAACTAAATTTGATCACGAGGCTAGTCATGATTATGATTTGGATTTTTGACCCTTTCCTCACGTTTCCAAAGGCCTGGTTGTCGCAGCGGAATGCCCCGTAACACCCAAGGATGTGATTTCTATTCAACCGCTGCGTGTGAGGTTGTGCCAGTGGTGAATTCACTTGGACGATCAACCGGAGACGTGGATTCAACGCTGCATAGCCCTCTCCTTGCCTAATCCACTTTCGTGGGGGTGGCAAACGTGGTACTCTGAAAGTATGAAGGGCTTCAGCTTAGCGGCTCGTTTCTATGCAATAAAATATCACATTTCTTGTTATATAAGAGGAATTTAACACCACTGGCCTATTTTTCAATGTTTGCCCCATTCAACTGTGTTAGTATCTGGCACGATAATAGAGCTAGGATTAAGGGAAATATCGGTACCCAATGCACCGGACCGCCTAAGAAGGGATCTGCCCAGTGTTAGTATTGTCAAAGAGCGGACTCGATTGATACACTCGCTAGATGAACCTGATCCTACGGGTGTCTTGCGAGAACCGATGGCGGGGGAAATGATCTACTTGGCCTGAAAGCTAACTGCTGGCCCCCACTAGCGCCGCCTCATATGTTTAAATTTAATGATTTACCCTACCGCAATATTTTTGAGCCCTTACTGATTTTGCGAGCAGCATGCCCGACATAAGAAAGGAGCCGGAGGGAAGAGTTGGAATATTACGTAAGAAGACTGGGAATAGACAGAATTTGTGAGAGTCGTGTTAAAGACCCGCCAGGTATTTTTCCGCATCCCCATGGGGTCTGCAGGGAAAGGAGGTGTGAGAGAAGAGAGTAGGGAAAATCAGAAGAATCATTAGAAATTTGGATCAATTGCCAGAAAATGTCTACAGAGAGAGCTTAATAGAGAAAAAGTAGTTTCCACATGAGATGCAACCGCTAACATAAAGTAAGGAAGTCAATTCATCTAATGCTCCGTCTGCTCCCTTCCATGACTACATTTTGACAAGGGGGTAAGTAGGGGTGTGTCTTGGAACTGGAGCACATGACAAGGAAATATAAAAGTAATAGTCGTTAACAGCGGCTCACACCAACTAACTTTTCATTCTCAAGAACTAGAGGGGCATAGAATAACCAGGGGAGGATGAAATACCTAAACCTTTCTCCACCATATCCAGAAAATGTTTCTTGGCTTCCTGGCTCCACTTCTTCGAGTTAGGACTTAACACCCTCAATCTCAACCTCTTGTCCGCCTCTAGTACCCTATATTTTCCCATCTGATCCTCTACTTTTGCCTTGATCAGTTCCAGAGCCCACAGACCAGGCTCCACATATTCAGCCTTTTCACTGCGCAATGCGGAGACTGCCTTCAACCTCTCTTCCGCGTCATGCACGGTGGCGCGAGCAATCTTCTTCCTCATGCGGGTCAGCTCAAACGTATCCCAATCAATTAAGTTTTCTGTCGTGTTCCGCCCAGCAAACCTCAACAGGACAGCCGATGCAGCGTCGCCGTGCCCTATATGAGTAACGAGGACTGACTCTAGTGCAAGGCGCTGGGCGAGACGGGTTCGGGAACTGCTGGCATGGATTTCGTGTTCGCGGGCCGACTTATCCATCTGGTCGTGCATGAATTGTAGACATTTGTCTAAGGGACCGTATGCCCTGGCACGGTAGAGGTGGTATTCAAGGAGAGTGCGGAGGTATGGTATCATCTTTTGTGTAGGCATGTCGAGGTTCGTTACCATCTCAATGGTTTGAAGGATGTTTCCGTGTATGTCGGAGGATTCCATCCGAGCTTTTGGGGGAATGTTCAGAATTTCTGCTTTGTCTTCTACCTGTGGAGTGTTTTTTCTTGCACAAGGCGAGCGGGAGGGGGAACAAGAGGGAGAGCCGGAGAGAGAGCCGGAGGGAGAGAGTAATGGAGTGGATTGGAGGGGTGGAGTCAAGTAAGGAGCGTAGGAGCGACTCGGGATGTGGCAATAATTGGAAGCCAGTTTGCCTTTTAGGAAATCAGAAAGAACTTTTTTGCACCAATAAGGGTTGTGGAAGGTGGTCAACGGAAAGGGTGTGGAGGAAAGTTTTCTCCCCGCTACGGCGATCCCTGATGAGACTACTATGAGGTCGGGTCACAAACCGTCACTCTGCAGAAACATGGAGTTAGCAGAGCATCATAAAATCGCGTGCCATCCCCACAAACCTTCCAAATACTGATTTAAATGGTGATGGGTATTGAGAAGCCACCCACGGCTGATCCTGAAGGTGATGTTGATATGTCGTGTCTGTTGTCGTGCGTGTGCGTGCGTCCATGGAGGGAGGTGTAGGGCATAGTTTCGTACATCCGCTTCTACCATAGAAATGAAAGATGCCCCCCACCTCAACTTAAACAAACCTCCACATTTCCCCTTCCTTCCCCCTTCCTCAACTCCAAAATTCATCAACACCACTACCATCGTCACCACTCCCCTAAAAAAGGGCTCACCCTCCCAAACTCATACTAGGATGATCCTCTTCAAAAAGAAAACCACTACCCCTCCTACCTCCCCCCCATCACCCCGGCCGCTCAGGGAACCTTCCCAAGAGACCCAAAGACCCCACCTCTCTGAGGGCGGGCTAATAATAGACAACCTCCTCGACCCCACCCTCACGAACAATAACGTCTTTGCCCTGTTACAGAGACTGATAGAACACTATGCGAAAACCTTCCTAAAGCCCCAGGATCCCATAAACCAGAAAATCACCGAGGCCACCACCAAATTCCTCGATGATCGCAACAAGACCAGGGTCGAGCACGCAGCCCGGGAGGGCCAGTACAGTGCGGTCTGCGCGAGCATGGACACCGGTAGGACATCGTGGCCGGAGATGGCGGGTGAGCTGTCGTATGAGACTTTGCTCGATCTTTCGAATGTCGAACGGTTCTTTCGCCTGAAGGAGTCCTTGGGCAGGATTGCCGCTGTCGAGAACTTGATTCAAGCGAGGTATACGGCGCTCCTGGGGGTTGACGGGGTACAGACTACCCAGATTGGGAAGATGGTGGCCGAGTTGATGAGGGTCAGGGCGGGTTTGGGATATGATATCTGTCTTGCCGCGGAGTTGAGTATCAAGGTTAGGGGGGTCGTGATTCGGGATTTGATGCTGGGGAATCATTGTAAGATGCTTTGAGAAGCGTTTGGGTGATTTCAATGGATGGTACTTCTGATATGATTGTTTTTTGTTTTTTTTGTTTTACCAAGAGAATAAACTAGAATTGCCTTGACTTCTTTCAGATTCGTAGTATTCTTGTGTGCACCTGCGTCTATTACGTCCAAGTTTGCTCTTTCGCTACGGGATTTTTATTTTATTTTTAGGAAATTGGATGCAGTGCTAACTTTGACGATTTTCCACCGTTATTGGTTTTGGCCATTAAGCTTTTATATAGTGATTTTCATGGGGAATTCCCCTTGGAGCTTCCACTATGATAACTTGTTTTCTATTATGCCTGGTAAATACACAGCATTCCACCTGTCACTGAGTGGTGACCCCACAATCTACTGTAGATAACTGCCATAATCAAGAAACGTCGTTAAAAAATACAGTTTTGACCAATACTACCCTCTCCCCTATCGGTATTTTGTCTCACCACTCCCACTACCGAACAACAATCTCAGAACCTCAGTGTAACGTTCATCGATTTCCGTTCTTTCCTTGACGTCCTTCTCCGCCGCCCTCTCCTGCCCCCCGGCCCAACCTTCCAATAGCCCCAATGCGATCTCTACATCCTCCAACATGTTTCTCGTCCACCGATGTTCTCCTTCCTCTAAAAACCCTTCTAAACCCATCCTCAGCCTTTCCAGAGACGTCCTATAATCTCCAACGTCGCAGTCCACTCTAAACCCTGAACTTCTGGGCGAAAGCCTCTTATCGGGACTGACAAAGCTGACTGGGCGGCCGCTGCCTAGCTCGTTAGCAGTTAAGTGTGCGTGGCGGTGGAGTCCAATTAGAAACTGCAGGGCCGCTGCGCGCGTCGCCTCCGGTGGTGGAATCAGGTATTTAGAAGGAACACAGAGTGGGTGTATTGTATAGGATTTGAGAATAGGAGGAACAGAAGTCGTGTTGGGGGCGACAGAGGTGCTCGCGGGGATCTCTGGGGGTGCCTCTTTGTATTTTCGACGGGGTGATTTTACCGGCGTTGGCGGTGGGGTGGGCGGCAACAACATCCTGGGCTTTAAGGATGGCGGTTGGAAAAGTGGAGGCAAGGAAGGTGTTGAAGTTGGAGACGGTTGTGATGCAGAATTTGGAAGACCTTTGAGCATTGCTGCCAGCACGGGAAACTTTGGATCCGATATTCGTGAGTTGAAGCGCTGGTAATGATTTTGCTTTTTTTTTTGACGCTGCGAGATTGTACTGTATGGTGGGGTCCCTTTGGCTATGCCGCTGGAAGTGTGATATGGGAGTATTTTTTTTGGATGCTGTGGCGGCCAATAGGTTTGTCGGAACCGAGATGGATGAGGTTGCTGGGTCTTTTCCCCTTATGGCTGGTTCATTGGATTAGTTGAACACCCAATATGATGGTCGCTGGGAAATTGTATTCGGATTCGTACAGCCGCTCAAAATTACTTGCATTTCCTCAATAATTCTAAGCTCGAGTATCATAGGGTCCTCGAGCAGAGAGAAAGGGGAGCCAAGGAAATGCTAAAAAAGGGATAATGAATAGCAGAGAATCTTATTTGTGGGGGAGCTGCAAACTGTCTGGTACCCTATCAATACTATGTTCCAGCTGCGGTATTCGTTCAGGGAGCCAAGCTCCTTTCAAGGAACTTCCCTGCCCTAATCTTCCGAGCTTGCCGGGACTTTTCACATACCCGGTGTTCCGCTGGCGGACCGTATATTAGCTCTGGTGGAGTCTGTAGGTTCGCTCGAGAAAATCTACCAGAATAAGTGACTCTTCCAAACATGGGATTACCCATTGGCAGCAGTACCGGTAACCCGAACAATCTGGATGGCTTCAGGTTTTATCGCCAAGGCACCCGTTGTTTTGGCCCCGCATGCGGGGCCCCCGACCAGCGAAACAACTGTCCGTGCGCTGGGCTCCAACGGGTGGTCGATATGCGGCCGTCACGCCATAGGCCCCCACAAATAACGTTGGGTGAAAGGTGCGAACCCAGGTGAAGGGGCTCCAATCGGAAAAAAAAAATGCAACACAGTGGCCCCTTGGAACCTAGGCCAGACCCGGTCGAGGCTGTGAGAGGATGGATCGTATCGTAGGATGGTATGATACGAGCATCGGAGAAATACATACACAAGGTCTAATAGTTAGTTAGCGGAGCACTAGGCTTATTGAAGCTGGCTGTAATAAACATCGAGGACCAGAGGGAACAACCCGAATAGACTCTGCGATGATCAAAGAAAGCCTTTTAAGGGAATAAAAACGTAAGAGGGGTGGATAGAGGCGTATCACACTATGAAAACTCGGGTGTTGATGTTGTGAACATGTCTTCCATGGAGATAGCGCTGGTGGTGCTATTCGAACCGCTCAAAACAACGGGCTTCCGGTACGTAAGCCACGGCTTATCGGTGTAGGATACCTCCTCCCGGAGTGCCGTGCCAACCACTCCCAGCCTCTGGATGCTGACCACACGATCCCAATGGATACTTTGGAAATCCACTTACTTGAGCAGTTTTAGAACCTGTGAGGGTCGGAGGCTGCTCCTCCCGGTATAATACTTTGAGCCCAGGTGTTGTATCAATGTGTTATCGTGTGGTCGGGGGAGGCATCTTGGGGAAACTTCAAAATTTATGGTGCAAGATACGGTATCTTTACCAGAGCGAAGGCCTCTGATTGTAGATTTTCCTGCAGTAGTATGAAATGATATCAAATAATTTCACGATCAAGGGAGAACCAGCAGAACTACATCCTTCGGTGGCTCATTTCATAGAGCTTTCTCTTCCGCTCCTCCTTTACGGTACTTCGTTCTTCCCCAGTAATACAGGTATCATACAATTACTCGTTCCCCTTAAGGAGGGCATATCGATGTCTAACTTGATGGGTATCATCCTCAACCCTTTGCCCAAGCCACAGTCTCTGGAAGCAAACGTGGCTAATGCTAACATTTCGAGTAACTTAAAGGACCTAATTTACCTAGCTCGGAAATCAGCCACCCGGGCATTGCAAGAACTCGAGTTCCGGTAACCGGGCCACCTTCTATGCAGTCAAAAATTTCCGCCGTGGGGAAAGGGGTGAAACGCAACGCAAAGACATGGTATCATACTCATACCGAGAAGAAAACACTCCAACTTACTAGGAGAGGAAACTCCAACGTCAGAGCACAAGGTCCGATTACTCGACTTCCATCATACGTCTATGATACCGGATTTCAGAATCATATCGGATGATGGGAGGATATGCGCGCCAGCCGAAATATAGTACCGGTAATATGACTCGGCCCCTGTTTTTAGAAGAGCTTTGTACGGAGTCCACAGATATAGTTATTCAATCTTTACTGCGCCCTGAAAGCACGGCGTTCCGGGAACTATAGAGGCGTTGAATATAAGCCCCGTGCGTTTGACTATGGCAGCACTGCTGGGTCTGGTAGATACCGTAGTATAGTATATTCTGTCCAGCCATTTTGACTGAATGGGGGTTATTCCGTTCTATTGGACTCCGTTTTCTCCTTCCCTTTCATCTTCGCCACAGCAATGGTACTCGAGTAGGCTCGTTTCCTTGTTCCCTTTGCATTCATTCCCGATAGCCCGAGAGCAGGATTAATGGAAGAGGTAAAAGGATGGGAGAAGGGTTCAGATCCTAGCGCCTGGAAGATGGTTCGATTGCTTAAGATTCTACAATAAAAATATGCCTTTTGGAAAGTTTTGGGGCTTTTGCGCGCGGGGTGGGCACGGCGCCATTGGGCCGCTTGTTAAACACTCAAAAACTGGTCTATAACGGTGGGTGCTTCCAAAACGAGCATGTAAAAAAAGAACGCAGAAATATTGGACAGGATAGTGGTCTAATATCCCCACCTACCGCGGTTCATCCATGGTGGGATAGCGAGTGGGTTATAATACATAAGCGCTCCCAAATATGAAAATTTGGCCCGCAGTAGGGTAACTGTAGCTCTGCAACACCATATTTAGCCAAGAAAACCTCCCCTACTCCTTTATTCTTCTTCCTATCCCAGCTCCATAAAGCCACCCAACGCCCTATTTGACCGGGAAAAACCCACCTTCCTCTTTGATCCTTCTTCTCACCACCGTATTCGACTAAGGCAGTTCTCCCATTCCCCCCAACTCGAGGTTCATCTCTGCCCCCTGCCCATGCATCTTTCACTTATAAGTCTAACCCAGTGACAGAATGTCTGCCAACATGAGATTCGCTACTAGTATGAGAAAGATGTTTGCCAGGGTGGGGGCTAATACGCAAAGGCTCGGAAGTAGGTTTTTGTTCCGGATACTTGTGGAAATTAAGGAGTAGGCTGCTGAGTAACATAACATGGTCCCCAGAATGGACTATGAAAAATCAAACTATTGTTGCGGGTTTTGGAGGTGCGGCTCTTATAACTGTTGACGGCAGGCTCAACAGCCACGATATCAAAGCGGAGATACTAAAGAAACTTGACTCATAATCGCACCACGGTTAATGGCCAATTTGCAAGAGTCGATGGGCAATTAGCTGATATTAGGAACCGGCTGACTGGGCTTGAGCAGGAAATAGAGATCACGCAGGGTCTTGTCCTCAGATCCGCCATCAAGACTATGAAAGCCCTTGATGGCGACAGTGTTCCCAACGGGCCAGGTAGGCCAGGTTGAACCAAAGCCGGGCCCGGCCTGCCACGACTATAGGGAATTTAGCCCGGTCGGAGCCTGCAGGCATTGAAAAGCCTGGGCCTGGCCTGGCCGGGCCCAGCTATAGGCCGTATAGGCTAAGTACCTGCCAGACCCTTTGTCATAGTATAAGCGCTGATCAAAGACAGCGATGCCGAATCCCCTGCCGGAAAAAACCAAGAAAGAGAAATGGAAAGAGCGGAAGGGCCGGGGGAGGAGGATCTGGGAACTCGAAATCTTGCTTCAAGAGCAGAAAGAATTAACGCATCGGCAGACAGAACGGGCGCTGAAATATAAGGCTGGGTGTAAGAAGGAGAAGCAGGCAGGCGCGGAGCAGGCCAAGGCGAGTGCGGCAAGGAGAGGAACAACTTAAAGTTGAATGAAAACGAGCAATACCTGCCCCGCGTGGCCCCCATTGTTGCCCCAGTGGTGTTTCAGGCCCTTTATGCCAAGGTTTAGTTGGCCCATCGGGAGGTAAACATGAAAAACGGGCAGTGTGGATCCGAAACCTTCAGGAGAGGTTTCGGGAGTTTGGGTATGAGAAGGCTGAGGAAGTGGATAGTTTGGCGGATATGGTAAGTGTGCATTCTTTTGTACATGGGGGGGTCGTTAAAAATTGGAAAACATAACCCTTGTCTCCACCGGGATTTTTGTGGGGTTGGGAGAAATGGTTTTCCGGATTTTACTGACCCCCCCAAGTGTGTGTTGGACATCGTACTGGTATTAACTGTGATCGTTAGTGGGCTGGTGTGATGCAGGCCAGGAGCACGGCTGCTCACCAAGTAATGGGTGAGGATGTCATTGTTCTGCCCCATTGCGAAGCTGCACTGCGGGAAGTGATGGAGCGTGGGTTTAAGTTTCTCTGGGGAATATCAGCAAATTCCTGGAGTGAGGCTACCCCAGAGCAGAAATCCCTCACCTTCTGCTTTTGAAACCGTTCACGCTAATTCCACCTGTGTTTGTTTCTTTCTCCTTTCCAATCCTTCTTCTCTCCTTCATTCTTTTCCCCTTCTCTCCTTCCTTCCTCCCCCTCTTCCTTCTCTCCCTCTTCCTTCTTCCTTCTTTTCTTCTTTTCCTCTTCCCTTCCCTTCTTTCTTCTTTTCTTTGCTTTTCTTTTTGTTTGAAGTCTTTATTTTTGTATTATTGCTAATAGAACACTGTATAAGCAAAAAAATAGTTTGCCGTTGAGGTAACTACTAGTGTAACTGCTATATTGTATTATCAGTTCTATTATGATAAATTTGCTCTTCAGATATGAGAACCATAAGAATGTATCATGAGACTAGTGCCAATAGCAGGATGGTTGCTCTTATGAGATGCTGATAGGAATAAACAAACGAGAGAGAAAAGGAAATGAAACTCAAGAGGAAAGTTTGTGTATTTTCAAGATTTGTTTCTCTCTTGCTCACCACATTTACATAGAAGTAGTGGCTCTTATAACAATTCCTACTTGTAGCTAAGAGCTTAAGTAATAAGTACCAACTTTTATATATAGCTCAATAGTTCTTAGGACAATGCCTATTTCATATTAATAGCCAAGTTCTTAACTCCTATTATACAATATCTAATAAAGCTATCTTAGAACAGTTAGTTTTTGTAGAATAATATATGTTTTAAGAAGGCTTAATGAGTTTTCTTGGATAAAGTAATAAAAGTAATAAGAAAGAAAAAATATAAATAGTAGTATAAAGAGCTCTCCTCTTAAGTCCTACTACCCTCTTATATAGTTCTTCATACAATCCTAACCCTTGTAACTGACTCCTGTAAGTCATATATAATATATAAATCACAACTATGAGTCAAGCAAAATCCTTCAGTCAACTCCTATGAGTCACTATATAATGTTTCTTAAACTAATCAAAATGAAATAAGTAAGTTAGGTGCATAACTCATGTTACCTAAGTGTAACGGACAAGGTCCGGGCAGGTAGTCCCAGGCACGCCACAATAGGAACAAGAGATATAAACAGAGCCAGTATCCCACTGAGATCTACACATCAAGGTTCTGGTGTCCCACCGGAGGTCTAGACAGAGGTCCCTAGTATCTAAGGTGTATTCGGCTTATTGGTGTGCGGCCGAAGAGCAGGGTCCAAGGAGGGTCTGGTATTCCACTGGAGGTCTAGGCATTAGGATAGGTATCCCACCTCCAAGGTCTATGCTGTCTGGTATCCCACTGGAGGTCTAGGCATCAGGATAGGTATCCCACCTCCAAGGTCTATATGTCAGGATAGGTATCCCACCTCCAAGGTCTATGCTGTCCCGTATCCCACCGGAGGTCTAAGCAAGAGACAGGTATCCTACCTCAGAGGTCTAGACAAGGGTCAGGTATCCCACCTCCGAGGTCTAGACAAGGGTCAGGTATCCCACCTCTGAGGTCTATGCCGTTCGGTATCCCACCTCAAAGGTCTAGACTCAAGGGCCCTGGTGTTCAAGGGTTTTCTGTCTAACGTGTATGCGGCCAAGGAGCAGGGTTCAAGGAGGGTTTCCAATATCAAGCCGGAGTCCACCCGCGAGGCGCATAAACAACTAAGGTCCAACTAAGGAGCATCCAAGTGAGCCACGGTAATCATCAGGTATCCCACCGGAGGTCTAGGCCAAGGGGCCTTGGTATCTAAGGTTAATCCGTCTGACTGGTATGCAGCTGAGGAGCAAGGTTCAAGGAGAGTTACCGACATCAAGCCGGCGTCCACCCGCGAGGAGCATAACCAACTAAGGTCCAACTAAGGAGCATCCAAGTGAGTTAAGGTATTCGCCCGGTATCCCATCAGAGGTCTAGGCCAAGGGGCCTTGGTATCCAAGGTTAATCCGTCTTATTGGTATGTGGCTGAGGAGCGAGGTTCAAGGAGCGTTACTGACATCAAGCCAGCCAAGATAATATTCAGTGTCCCACTGGAGGTCTAAGCAAGGTTAGCGACATCAAGTCGGCCTAGGTAACGTCCATTGTCCCACTGGAGGTCTAGGTCATAGGGCCTCATGGCTTAAGGTTCTTCTATCTCACTAGGAGACAGCCGAAAGGTGAGGTGCAAGGAAGGTCATAGGTACTCTATCAGGGAACAGCAAGGCTTGTAGCTGAATACAATATTATTAAGTGATTCATAAAGGTTGGAAGCCTCAAGTCATATGGTGTCTGTTCTATGAATAGTGAAAGGATCAAGACTATAACAGTCTCATCAAGGGTACCAGGGTTCAGGAGAAAAGCTGCCGTCAAGGCAGATAACTAAGGACAGGTCGACATAAAAGAAGACCACGGGTACAAAGGTTCAGGCGGGAGAACTATCATTGAGATAGTTAAGTGAGGACGGTGTTAAGAATCCTACCTGGCGGGTGAGTGATGCGACAGGTAACGATTCTTTCTTGAGGCGAGGTAATAGTTCTTAGGCCTATGCCTACGCGATGTTGATAGTTAAGTCCTTTGACTTCTACCATATCGCGCCTATTCCTCTCGATCTTCTTAAGTCCTCGTCTAGGACTTAGGCGTAGTTCGTAGGACGAGAAACAGTTTTCTCGTTTAAGGTGATATGAAGGTTAAAGAGTATAAAGGTAGGTTTTATTTGTATAAAATGTAAAGGTAGGAAATAAACAAGAAGAACGTGTGAAGAGCTAATACTAGGGGTCCTAGTGACCCTTTATATAGTAGCTCTTCACCTAGCATGACTCATATTTATGTGTCACGTGAACCTTGTGACTCATAACTATGAGTTATACGAAATCCCTCAGCTGACTCCTATGAGTCGCTGCGCAACATACCTAAAACTGTAACGACCCTAAGTTATAGAGCTACGGTAACCTATGTCTACGCCCATACATAAGACCTCGTGGTCGAATGGTAGACTAGGAGGACATTGCAGGCGCATGTCCTTGGGATATCCGATGGTCTGGGTATCCTAAAGAACAGAAGGTACTTAAGGGATAGGTGCACCCAAGTAGCGGAAGTAATCTGACTATGTCCGTTCCGGCCTAAGGTTAGGTCAGAAGGCTGGGTGAGTTTACCCTGTCTAGGAGAGTTACGTTACCCTACCATGGAGACCAGTTTCGTGTCACTATAGACGAACTTACCCTACCTTTGGGACACTATTACCCTACCTTCCGTCGGAAATGTTCTGGGAGGAATCTTGAGAAAGATTAGGATTGTTTGTTACGCAATGACGATCGACAAGCACTTGGTTGCATATTCAGCGGAAGACCACGGGACGAGCTATAGTGCTCCGAACAAGCTGTAACTTTGCAGAATAATTCCTAACAGGTACCTGCGGCCCCAGGGTGTGCCCCGGGTGTCATGGGTCAAAATGGTCACAGTTGCTGTCTTGCTAGTTAAATGGAATCGTTGACGACATGTCCATAACACTGTATATGTCGCTGCTGTCCGTCCGACCGGAAGCTGTTCGCAGAATATATAAGGGGGCCAAGGTGAGAAGGTCAGGTACCTTCTCCAAAAGGGACGGAGTAAAACGGACCAAAACTGACGGAGTTAGCGTGAGCTATCCAGAAGGGTCCTCAGAGTAGTCCCGGGTAGTACCGGCGACATTTGGGAAGGGTTTACGCCAATCAAGCCTACACGTGCCCCTTTGCCGTAGGCTCTTTGTGGGTTGTTTGAAGACTCTAATAGCATGATACTTATCGCGGTGGGTGGTGTACTGGGGGTAAGGGACCATGGGTAGCGCCCACGGGTCCCGCCGCCACTGCAGCTTTCAGCAGGAGCGTCGTAGACCCTGTAAGTTCGTAGTCAAGAAAGATAGAACTTAACCGGAAGACAGCTGATGTCTACGAGTGCTTGCATAGGTCATAGCACATGGGAAGAGAGTTATTTAGTTAGCTTCCCTAGGGTGTCTCGACAGTTAGCCACTGACGAGACTCCGATGCGCAGAGGTTTTCACTCCGGCAGGTGTATTGGTAAACACCTTGCAGGAACTGATGTGCATATGGGAGACTTCTACTAGAGTGCGTGGCCACCATAGGCCCTTAGAGGATGCGGTAATGGTGCCGAGCAACCCTTACGGAGAAGGGCATACTCATGATGGTCGGGGTAACCTGATGGGGGAGTTTTTGGTATAAGTCTGACTACTTAAAGCTTATACGAGAACTCTCCTACCCCGACACAATCAACATCCTCTCGAGAGGCTTTAATTGAGATAAGCCTGAGCTTAACAATATTAAGTTTTACTGTTACTTTTATTCTTTACAATTTTGCAAGAGCTTTTGTTTGAGAGATTCGAAGTTTGGTGCGGTCGCATCCTTAGGATCCATCTTCCTGAGGGAGCCCCCGTTACAAAAACCAAGCAAAACATAATAACCAAGTCAGGTGTGCAACTCGCGTCACCTGAGTGAAACCCATGACTCATAATTTGAATCATATGCGAAAATCATAACATCGGATGACTCACAAATGTGAGTCACAAACAGGTAAACATAAGAACCTATGGTGCACTAGTGTGCATCATGTGAAATCGCAACATACCTATATGGTGCTGGCCATCTATAACGTTCCCCAGGTCTGTTGCAACGGGGACGCAGGTTAATTTAGTGTTATCATACCGTGAAAGCTGGGTAATAACCCTACGATGATACAACAGCACCCATTTAACCTGCCGTTGCATTCCAAGCCTGCGTCCCCGTTGCAACAGACCTGGGGAACGTTATAGACGGCCAGCACCATAGCTCGGAATTCTGAGCTATGTGAAATCTGCCTTGCTTAGTCACAGTTTGTGACATGAGCTCCCCTCTCCCTCAGCCCGAGTCCTATCGGGCTTTATTCGCGTCTCCATCCCCCTTGATGGTTCCTCCAGCTCTTTTCCCTGTGGTAGTAGCTGCGATTAATCCTTCGGACCGCTCTTGCGGTCCTATCCGAATGTCTCTGAGCCTCTTCTGCCTGGCTCTCCAACTCCCTTTCCAAGGCCTCCCTTGCTCCCCTCTCTCTTGCCAGTTCTTTCTCGAGT